TTATTCTTAAGAGAATTACTAAATAACTATTTATTATATTTATTAATAATCTTATTTATCTTATTCGCTTTATTAAAAAGTAGATATAAAGCTAATTTAATATATAATTAATTAAGATTTTATTATATAGAGCTCTCTTATAACGTACTAGCGTATTTATATAAGTCTTTTATAAAATACTTAATTAAGTAATAACTATTCTAATAGATATTAAATAATAAATAAAAGACTTTTTTAATATTCTTAAAAAATCGAGTATTAAGAGAAATATATCTAAAGAGGTAATCGAAGTTAAATATAGAATTATATCGCTTCTAGAATATAATTTTTATTTCGCTATTAAGATACTTATCGAATAAATTAATCTCTTTTTATTTATCTAATTAACTAGTAATATTAATAAGAGAGTTAAAAAAAAATTCGAGCTAGCTTACTATCGATAGCACTATCTTCGCTATTAGAATTAATATAATATTTTTATTAGAGTATTAATTTCGCGTAATTATAGAAACTAAATCTATAAAAATATAAATATATTTAATTTAAAGTATAAGAAATTAAGTTAATATTACTCTACTTAATTTTATACTTTAAAATAAGATAGAGCTTTATACTTTATAAGAACTTTATATAATTTTAATAAGTAATATTCTCTTTATCCTTAGATACTCTAATAAATAAATTATTTTATATAAAAATTATAATTTTATTTATCTTCTCGGCTATATAAATAATAAGCTATTTCTCTATTATAATATAACTCTATTTATTATTATAAAATGAGATATATACTTAAAGTATTATAATTATATAGGTCTAAAATAAGTATATAAGAAACTTATTAAGTATCTAAAAGTTATTCTTTTTAGATAACCCTATATTCTTATAATTTTAGAAATCTTATATATATTATAAATATAAGAGATTATTAAATATATATATATTTTTTAATTTTCGATTACGTTTATTACTCGCTATTAATTTTAAGTTAGAGTTAATATTATTAATCTTTTCTAGATTAAATAATAAAGTACTTACTTAATATATCTTATAAATAATTATAAAATAAATTATTTTAATATAAAATAAGATTAATATAGATATTAATTAAGTTATTCGACTATAATTAGAAATCTCTTACTCTATATAACGTTATTTAATACTCTATAGATAAGAGAATATAAGTTAATTATCGTATATAAGACGTAAATTAATACCCTAATAAAAATTATCTTATTTGAGTTCGATTTATTTAAAATGAATATTTTTAAGTATCTTAATATTATCTTTTATAGTACTCTTATTAGTATCGATAAAATTAAGCGAGTAATTAACGATTTCTCGTAGAAATAATTTATTAATATAAGATATAGAATTAATTAACGATAATTAATCTTTATATAACTATTTTTATTATATAGGAAAAGCGTTATGAATAATAATATTTATAAGATAATCGATATACTAATACTATTAGTCTATAACTTTTTTATTACTATAAATCGTTAAAAAGGCTAATTTATCTTCTAGCGAACTTTATTTTTACGTAGTCTAGATATCTTTAATATATAGAATATATATAGAGGTTTAAAATAATCTATTATTAAGGCTTTAAGCTTATAGAAAGATATATCGCCTTCTTAAATTATATAATTAATAATTATCGACTTTAACTTTCTATTACTATTTATTCTCTATTTCTTAACTCTCTATATTTATTTTAGATTATTATATTAAATATAATAGTTATTAAAATAATTAATATACTTAATTACTTTATTATCTAAATCGCTACTTTTCTTAATATATCGTAGAATTTCTTAATAGCGAATAATTAGTCTAAGTCGATTATAAAGCTTAAGAATTAATTATTTAACTTTACGCGAATATATAAGAATATCTAATTAGATAGAAATCGAATTAGCTTTAATCTTCTATTATTAAAAATATATAATATTAAAAATTATTATAATAAGACTAAGTGAAGGTCGTAGGAATTTTTTATTCTTCTTTATATGCTAAGACTATATTATAATTGATAAAAATCGATAAATATATAATACTTCCTTTTTAATAGCCTTTAACAGCCCTTTTAGTTTTATATTATAGAGCTTCTTTAAATTAATATTCTTATTTTATCTCTTAAAAAGATCTAAATTATTAATAGCGAGAATCTCTCTCTATAGTAATTTCGAAATCTACTTTATTTTTTCTAGCGAGGCCTTTTAACGACTTAGTTAAATACGTTTAATAGATCTATTAATTAAATTATTCTTTAATATAATATTAAGTAGAAGATCGACTTTAATATAAAGTTTTATAATAAAATTACATTATAGAGATTCGTCTTATATAAGATTTTTTTAATAATAATCTTATATATCTTTTATTAAGTTATAGAGGCTTAATTTTAACTCTTTTATTATACTTATTATATTCTAAATCTTTCTAATCTTTATCTTTCTTATCTTTCTCTTTTTAATTATACTAATCATCTCTAGCGAAGTATTACTTTTATTTCTCTCTCTAAAACGAGGCGTAAATATAAAGGATTAAAAGACTACTAGCGAATATCTAATAATAGATAAAGTAAACTTTATAGCGATAATAGATAAATTAAATATTAATTAGTAATATAGAAAATAATTAAAGATAAAATTTATTTAATAAAGTCTAGAGATTCTTATTAAGATCTTATTAAGACCTCGTTAAGATCTTAATAAAATCTCTTCTTAATAAGATCTCTTCTATATTTAAACTAATTATTCTTTATTAATTTATCTTCTTATCTTATTAATCTTCTAATTAGTTATAATCTTCTTTCTCTTCTTATTTAATATTATTTAAATTAGAGTTATTATATATAATAAGCTTATTATATTTTATCTTATTATATTACTTTTCTAGATAAGTCTTATATATAAAGATCTATTAATAAATTATTTAATAATATATTTCTAATATAGTCTAATTATCTAATACGCTATATATAGAGAGTATAATTATAGAGCTTTATTATCGCCTTAATTTTTTTTATATAATCTTATATAAGAAGATTCTATTAAAAATTCTTAAAGTAAAAAAAAATATTATTTAATTTCTAATCTTTTTTAATAAAGAATATATTAATTACTATTAGATTTAAAGTCTAATATTCTCTACTATTTTCTTAAAATTATAGCGTTAAAATAATTAAATAATATTTAATTAAATTATTCTTAATAATAATATAGATCTTTCTATATTTAAAGACGTCTTTTTCTATATTTCATATATCTATTAAAAACTCTAACGTCATATAAGATATTTTTATTTATCGATATTATCGCTATTAATATCTAACTTTATATTAAAAAAATAAATTATCTTCGCTTCGCTCTCCGCTCTATTCTTCGCAAGTTTAATTACTTATTTATTTATATATATCGTCGTAGCGATACTCTACTTACTTACTTACTTACTTACTTACTTACTTACTTACTTACTTACTTACTTACTTACTTATTTACTTACTTACTTACTTACTTACTTACTTACTTACTTACTTACTTATTTATTTATAAAAGTTATCGCGGCGATAAGTTATCGCGATAATAAATATAAATAAATAAATAAGTAAGTAAGTAAGTAAATAAGTAAGTAGAGTATCGCCGCGATAATTTATTATCGCAATAACTCTTATAAATCTAGTCGTTTAAAAAATAAAGAGAGACTATAAAAAATAAGAGAAGACTATAATATCTAATCGAAGTAATAAACTAATTAATAAGGCTACGCATTTTTTCTAACACGTTATATTATTAATTTAATAAGTATTATAATAATTATTCTAAGAATTAATATATTATAAGAGAATTTCTATATAATATTACGCGTTTATTAAGATATATAATATTCTTAAATATTAATATCGCTACTATAACTAAGTTAGCTAAGTTTTTTAATAAAATAAAATTAAAAGCTTACTTTTTAATTATTATATTATAGCTTCTAATTTAATAAGAGTTTATTTAACTATTTATTCGACTTTTTTTAAGAATTTTAAAAAAGGCTATATTACGTAGTTGCGTATTTTTATTAAGGATCATATATACGTAGGGTGTGAATTTTACATATCGGGCGATACACCAAAAAATTAAGTCTTGGCAGGGTTTCCTACTCAGACCCACCTCAAGGCCGGTGGGGCCAAGCTGAGACTAGGATTGGCCACTTGCTGCAGCTTAAGCAGTGGGCGCACCTCCGCCAGTATCAAGCGCAAAACCAGCCCACTTTTTCCTCTCACCGTCCAACAGGGGCATCCAAGCTTTTCTCTTTTTCCACAAGGTTGATCCATTTGAGAAGATTGTACTGGAATGATACAATCAGTGTTTACATCATGAGTGAAAAGCTGCAAGTTTGGCAGCATGCACCCCACAAGGCTCGATTCCCGCTTTACCTTACTAGATATTATGCGCCATGGATCCTAGATCTCGGGTAGATTGAGTTGGCTCGCAAGGTCAAGTTTCATCCTTGAATGAGGCTGTTTTGATTGGCGAAGAAAGCATTACTTTATGCATGATGATATATTATGACATGTTCGCTTAATTTTTCCCCTTTTCCAGTTTTTCTTTTTCATTGATTGGGAGACGGGTGTCGCATAGGCAGCTCGCCCCTGCCCTCGGAAGTCTCTTTTGTGAAAAAAGGGCCGTTAAGAAAAACACATCGGACGAAACTCCGCGGAGGGAGGGCGCGGCATGAAACGGATCACCAACATTTTAACATTTTAGCTGCCAAGAATTTGGGAGAAACTATGCAAGCCAAGTGAGGGGTACCAGGCAAAATCAGAGAAGCCTACTCCGTAGCCGAACGTCAAACTTGCTCATTATTACACATGCATAATGTTGGAGGTACACATCACTTTCGTCATTTGCTTGGCTAAGAGTTGGTGATAGTAATCGCATGGATATTCTATGACCAACGAACATCTGTAACGTAGCTTCGATCATTATAGAACTTTCAACATGCCTGTCTCCACCATGGGCCGAAAAAGTGCAGACAACTTTGATGGAAAGAAAGCATACCAAGCACAGGAAGAAGAAGGAGTCCCATTCGTAAGTGTGCCGGATGTGTTGTCTCCGAGAGCTGTAGATTGACAACACTGTCCAGTTCGACGATGGGCGAGAGATTGAGTTACTGCACTTCGTATACGGTCATCCGTCAATAGAAGAGATCCGGAATTCTCCACAGAGAGTGCTGGAAGCCATTGACGAATACGGTCGCACCAAGAAGTATCTCATGAACGTTGGTAACGATAAAGGGAAGATCGTTGCAGACTTGATTGCGGAGCGGAAGCCTCAAGTAATGGTAGAGCTTGGTGGATATGTAGGGTACAACCGTGTAACCGTGATCCTGGCTGAAAAATCCATAGCCAATTTCAGAACGGCGAGTCTGACTGTTGAGCAGGTATTCTTGCATTTTGTTCGGGGACGCTGTGAGACAAGCGGGAGGCAGAAGGTATTTCAGTCTGGAAAGGAACCCAGAATTTGCGGCTGTGATCATGTCGCTGGTAGACCTGGCGGGTTTGAGTGACACGGTCAAGGTCGTCGTGGGTTCCAGTGCCGACTCGATCAAAAGACTCCACGCGAGTGGTATTCTCACGCAGGTCGACCTAATGTTCCTCGACCACTATAAGCCAGCGTATACCACTGATCTTAAACTTTGCGAGCATTTAAAGCTGGTGACTCCGGGAGCGGTTCTGGCCGCAGACAATGTCATCAAGCCAGGCAATCCACCATACCTAGAATACGTTCGGAGCAGTGTGTCAAGTAAGCAAAAACAGTACGAGTCTGGTGAGACGAACGGAGTCGAAACCACTGGCTTTGGAGACAGATGGAAGGATCAATATAAAACCCGCGAAGGGGAGGAAAAGTTGAGCACGGAAATTAAAGGGAATCCAAACTTGGTATACGAGAGCGAGCTTGTCAATAGCTACGAACCGACAGGTGTACCGGTACTACTATCGAGCAATGTTTCATCCAGTGGTGTCCGCTAATTGGTAACAGGACGGTATCGAGATCACAAGATGTATTGGAGAAGTCGAAGTCGAAATGAACGGAAAAAGGAACGACTTACGGCAATCTTAGCCATGGAATGACATAAAGTAGCACTGTCCATTGCTCGATTAGAGCCAGCTCAGTGGTGATGAGATGCGTTCTCTCCAGGCACTGAAGCACGAAGGAAAGACAAGGAAAGTCAACATTCAAAGCTGGTGGTAGAGGAAATAAGAGTGTTGCGCTAGCTTGCTTTTCATCTCATCAGGTTTCTTCGACTCTTGCTCATCGCAAAGAGGTCAAAAACGTTATCACTTGTCATGAGAAGAAATAATTGCGTATACTAAAGTTGCAGGCCCCCGTAGCAACATTAGTGATTTCCCCACCCTCCAACTTTACCCAGCTCTCCGTGCTCCCCACTCGGAAAGCATGCTACCCATGACGATGGCGGTCTCTTGCTCACCACTATTGCTCTTTGGCCTCAAAGCTTGGATCTTGGACCCAGGATAATATTTGAGCAATGACTCCTACGACCTACAACGTCGCCGTCATCGGCTATGGCATGTCCGCTAAAGTAAGTCAGACCCACAGCCGTCAACCAATTGCCCGTCAAGCTCAAGAGGTCTTCTCCCATGCTGATTCCCACTGCAGGTCTTCCATATCCCCCTAATCCAAGTCATTCCAGAGTTGAAGCTCTACGCCATCGTCCAACGTACCCCACAGTCCAACGATGACGCCGCGAAGGACCACGCAGGCATCAAGAGCTATCGCTCAAGCGAAGAGATGGTCCAAGACTCAGATATTGACGTCGTGGTAGTTACGACAGCCCCAACAAGTCACTTCGAACTCGCCAAATTAGCTCTTGAGCATGGCAAACATGTCGTCGTTGAAAAACCTTTCACACCCTCCTCGAAAGAAGCAAGCGAGCTCATTGCCATTGCAAAGAAGCATGATCGGCTCCTCACCGTCTACCAGAACCGGCGATGGGATACCGATTTCCTGACCCTCTCAAAGCTGCTGGAGCAAGGAACACTCGGCCGCGTGGTGGAATTTGAGACACACTTCGACCGACACAGACCTGAGGCTCCAGATCCTGCGAGTACCTGGAAGGCAAAGTTCGTACCTGGTGGAGGGGCGGTGTACGATTTAGGGACACACTTGATAGATCAGGCAGTAGTGGCTTTTGGCCTACCGGACAAAATCACTGGATTTATTGGGTCCCAGCGGGAGCACAATCCTGGGAAAGTTGAGGACTCGTGTACTGTACTGCTTCACTATAGTAACTCCGGTTTGCTGGCAACCGTGAAAGCTGCGGTGGTGAGTCCAGAGGTTAATCAGCTACGGTACTGGGTGCGGGGGGACAAGGGAAGCTACAAGAAGGTGAATTACTTACCCTGTCTATGCGTGTCTTAACCCGATGCTAATTGACCCCGATTTAGTTCCACCTGGATCCCCAAGAGGACCACCTCAAAGCAGGCAAGAAGCCTGGTGACTCCGGTTTCGGCGTTGAATCGAAAGAACGCGCGGGCAACTTGACGACCGTACAAGGCGGTCAGCCCAAGACGCAGACGCATGCCAATATCGAGCCCGTCACATACAGCGCTTTCTACAGCAAATTTGCCAAGGCATTAGCTGGGCAAGGCGAGGTGCCAGTGAAGCCTGAGACTCCAAAGGATGTCATTCGCTTGATCGAGCTGGCAAGGTTGAGCTCGAAGGAAGGAAGGACACTGGATATCAGAGAACATTATGCGGAGATAGATGGATAGCATTCTATATAGAGTAATGTAGGCAGAATACAAAGTCATCCATCATCATTCGCATCTCTGCACTTCTCTCAGAGATGTTCTTAGCGTTTGTATCCTTATTCTACCGGTGAAGCTACGCGACGTGAAACACACAGCGTTGAGATCCTGCTCATTTCCAGTGCCGACAGCATTGATTGATTGATTGATTAAGTCATACTGGACATCCTACGGGATAACCCGCGGGCTTCTCAGGCGTCAAAGGCCCGGCCAGATACATCGTCCTCCAGGCTTCCCAGACCCGGAATGGATGCCCTCTCTATCTAACACAAACCCTTACGGGCCCTACGCCCCCACATGATGATGATTGGGCCCCCAGAAACCCACTGTGCGGCCGCACAAGCACCGAAACTCCCCCGAGAGTCCACTGTGCGGCAAAATTCACTAACGCCTACTGTAAGAGAATGAGATGAAATGATAAGCCAAGTCCGACATGCTCATAGGGGCTACGAGCTAGCCTGGTGCCCCCAAGAGCGCCCCATTATCCATGCAATTTCCAACTTGCCGTCTCCATGTATCATTGAATATCCTATATCAAGTAGACGTTCTCGAGTCATCAAACAATACCGGTGTCGTAAAGAGGTGTCAATTTGCCCCATGCATCGATCTTGAGATATGTGTGACGCTAGGAAACTTCTAAGCGATCTTTCCTGGTGGCTCCAAAAAAAATTGTGAATTCACCAAAACTGCTTCACAAGTGAAACGCTCAAGAAATTCTCTCTCGACCTAAGTACAGAAGACAAGAGGCTGTACATGTTACAACTTCCATAGCATTTCCCAAGCGACGTCGTTGTCACCTCTCCGCGAGAGCGTCACATTTCTCTTGCTGCTTAGGCTTCAGCCAATCGATAAGGCCCCACCAGCCCACCGACATTCCTACCGCAACCGCATCTTCGCCTTCTTCTTCACTTTCTCGACACCTCACCACCCACTACCATGGTATCAGCCTCGAAAGCAGCCCGTCAGGCCAAACGCGCCGAGGATGGAAAAGACAAAAAGAAGACCGCAACTTCGAAACTCTCCTCCAAAGCAGCCTCACAGAATGGATCTTCAGCCTCTTCTGTCAACGGCGACGAGACGCCACCCCTACTCGACGGCGATGGCAACGCCTTACCCGATGACGAGCAACCCGCAACGACGAATGAGAAGATGAAGGATGTGAAGAAGCTAACGGATCAGATGGACAAGCATGGCTTGTCGGATCGTGTCACAACTGGTGTGCTGGCATCGCTGGCTACGAGTCGGGATGTGAAGATCAACTCGGCATCGCTTGTGTTTCACGGCAAGGTCTTGATCACTGACACTACCCTCGAGCTCAATTATAGCCGAAGATACGGTTTACTGGGAGAGAACGGATGCGGGAAGTCTACACTCTTAAAGGCAATCGACAAGCGAGAATACCCAATACCAGAGCAAGTTGATATATACTTGTTGAATGAGGGTGCTCCCCCAAGTGACTTGGGAGCGCTGGAATGGGTTGTGCGAGAGGCAGAAATTGAGATGGAGAGGTTAGACAAATTGGCTGAAGAGATCTTGGAGAAGAATGGGCCCGAGGATCCTATCCTCGAAGATCTTTACGAGGCATGTCTACTTCAACGCTCTCTTCTTGGGTATGCTAATGTCAATAGCGAATGGAAACTATGGACCCTTCAACCTTCCAAACTCGTGCCTCCCTCATCCTGACTGGCCTCGGCTTTAACAAGCAAACGATCCACAAACGCACAAAAGACATGTCCGGTGGATGGAGAATGCGTGTAGCACTCGGCAAAGCTCTCTTCGTCAAACCCTCCCTTCTACTCCTCGACGACCCAACAGCACATTTGGACCTCGAAGCCTGCGTATGGCTGGAAGAATACCTAAAGAAATGGGACCGTACCCTCATCCTCGTCTCTCACTCCATGGACTTCCTGAACGGTGTCTGCACGAACATGATCGACATGCGGATGAAACAACTGATATACTACGGTGGTAACTACGATTCATACATTAAGACTCGCTCAGAACAAGAGACCAATCAAATGAAGGCGTACGCGAAGCAACAGGAAGAAATTTCGCACATCAAGAAATTCATCGCATCTGCAGGTACCTATGCCAACTTGGTTCGACAAGCAAAATCAAGGCAAAAGATTCTCGACAAGATGGAGGCGGACGGGTTCATCCAGAAAGTAGCAGAAGATCGAGTCTTCACCTTTCGTTTTGCCGATGTCGAGAAGCTGCCACCTCCAGTCCTCTCGTTTGACGACGTGACCTTCTCCTACTCCGGTAACGCGAAGGATGACCTCTACAAGAACCTAGACCTTGGTGTGGACATGGACAGTCGAACGGCTCTCGTGGGTCCCAACGGTGTCGGGAAATCTACACTTCTCCGCCTTATGACTGGCAAGCTGTCACCTACCAACGGGGTCGTTTCAAGGCATACCCACTTGAAGCTCGGCATGTACAGCCAGCATTCCGCCGAGCAACTGGACCTGACAAAGTCGGCTCTGGATTTCGTGCGAGATAAGTACTCAGACAAGAGCCAGGATTACCAATACTGGAGACAACAACTTGGCCGATATGGGCTGTCTGGAGAGTCACAAACAGCATTGATGGGAACATTGTCAGAGGGTCAGAAGAGTAGGATCGTATTCGCTTTGCTTGCTATTGATGGGCCGAACATGCTGTTATTGGACGAGCCTACGAACGGATTGGATATTCCCACAATTGACTCGCTGGCAGATGCCATCAATGCATTCAGTGGTGGCGTTGTGGTCGTTTCTCACGATTTCAGGTATACCTCTACCCTCCCTCTTGCAGTGGGGTTGAACGCTAACAGTGGCATTTCAGATTACTTGACAAGATCGCCAAAGACATCATGGTCTGCGAGAACAAGACGATTCGACGATGGGACGGCAGCATTGGCGAGTACAAGAACTACTTGCGGAAGAAGATGGTTACGATGGGCCAGGTTTAGCCCTGCAAATCCTCGACAGGAGGTTGGGAAATTCATCCGGATGGTTTCGGTCATCAAAGGCAAAGGATAAGTCTACGTCTCATTAGGCAGTACAGCCTCACAGCGAAGTTTTGCATGTGAGCCGCATCATCGATGAGGCATGGGCTGCACAATCATAGAGGCGTTTAGAATGACAGGTTTCCTTATACCACCAGAAAAGTACTTCTTCATGAGATTCATGCACACCGTACTGCTCCATGCCAGGTTGTGTTTCCCACACCGGTATTACTCATTGCAACCCCGCAGAAAAAAACTCCACCCTCCACTCTACCTTCAACCAGCCTGCAGAATCGCCACCCACGTCTCTGCCTTTGCTGTCCGTTTCAGCGAGAGTGGGAATGTGTTCCCAGGAGAATCTTCGAGCCCAACGACACCAGTAATATTCCCGGCGTAGACTGAGCTCGACGGTCCTCCTGCCTTCATAACGATTGTCATAAAGGTGTCAACACCTACTGCGCCAATCCGATTCTTCGCCCGATCTAGCAATGACAGCCTGCCCCATACCTTATCTCTTCGATCACGCTTTCTGAACAGCCTTGCGACACTTCCCCTCGCGACCTCGATCCGTACTGTCACGCTTCCGTGGCCTTCGGCTCACATTGAAGAGGTAATCCTCGTGGTGTGTAAGGATGCTCATATTTCTTGCCTATCAAATTGCTAGGTATGTAACCGTGCTAGCCATACCTGGTATGTGGCCTGGCAAGTAGCCACTTCCACAAAGCACCCCCTTTGAAAAGCGAGCCACCATGCCAGAACAAAAAAAAGCTGATGAAGTGCATCGTCGACCATATGAGCTACCTCGGCCTCCCCTAGCGGAAAACAAACCAGCATGGGGTCGTGAAGTCGTTGGCAATTTGCCTGAAATAGTAAACCAGATAACCCGCAATTCCATGGCAAACTGGCCATCAATCAAGGCTTTCCAGCTTGGCCTTGTATGCAGCCTTCGACTCCTGCTGATGGCCTAGCAAGTAGCCACTTCCGCAGCGGTGCCTCTGACTCGCAGATTTTTGACGAGGTGGTAGTTTCTACCGGGGCACCCATTTTTTGTGATGTTCTTCTTCATCGTTTCAGAAGCAAACGCCGCTTTCTTTTCGGCCTTGGTCTCATGTTCGGGCTCTGCCTGTGACATATTCCCAGATGATTTTGTAGTTGACGTGGTTCGCTGAAAGTGCGGCAGGCCTGCACCTCCACACAACGTCCAGTTCTTTGGCGTGATCTGGCCGGTATTTGACATTGCGCCAGTCGATACTGTACCTATTCGTGGTTTCGGACAGGTCGAGAGCTGCCGGTCCGACGGCCGTTGGCCATACCTCTCCGCCTTCCGCGAAGCGATGTGACGCTGATCTGTACGTGTGCCATTGTTGAGGCGGAGATGTGGACTCGGAACGCATCGCTTGTCTGCTTTGGAGTCCTCGAGGTACATGGCACGTTGACTTCGGGGGTCCACGCAGATGCTTAGACCCGTCGTAGACACCTTTTCTTTCGCCTCTGTATTTGTCTCCGGGCCCACGCTTCGCCAATGGTAGGGACGGGACAAATCATCGCCACAGAGTGAGACGACGATGCGCCTTATTTTAGAGGCACGGTCCCGGTAGTGAACAGCACTCGGAACACCACCAACAGTAGTACCCGATGCTCTGCAGAGAGCTTGTAGTACGTAGCGTTCGAAAGAGAATTTTGAGAGCGGACTGTAAAACAAATTGCAAATGAGAAATGTTGATGATGTTCATTTACGTGTTCACAACTCAAAGTCTCAGGCAGGGTCAACAGGATGATCTCCTCTTGACGAGAGATCAGCGTCGAACGTATTTACTGTCTGAGCGTACGTCACCACGTATGAAAACTTGGGAAAACATTCCCAGTGGAGGATCTTCTTGCATGCTCGAGGAAAAATGGAAGAAGCAGACTCAACATATCCTATTTTCGTTTGCTGACAATCAGACCCTCTGATATTCACAGGTCCTGGACTTTGTGTTCTTTCAAAGCGACTCGCTCAACAGACTCCCCTCAGACGAGTATGCCAACTGATAATAAAATCTTCGATTTGGCGTCGATGACACTGGCTCCGTAGCACTGGAAACCCCGATTTGAATCATGCAATCAAGAACATCCACCAAATTTTGAATGAGGATATAACGAAACTTGCATAGGCAACAGAAAGAGCATTGAAAGAGATACGTGTTCGACAGAGCTCTGTAGCAGTTCAAAGGGCTGACAGCCCGCAAGGCAGGTGCTGGCGGGTTTCCCATCTTCCACGCTTCTTTCATACGATCAGGATATTCCATTATCGACAGCTTGGGGGGCGGAGTTTCTGGGGGCGGAGAAGAGCTTGTAGATTCCGACATCAAAGAAGTGAGAGAATCGTTGCTCTTCGCAGTAACAAGCTTGCCCATCTGATGTGGTCTGATTGAAATCTCGAGCTGCTCCGTCTGGCTTCCATTTGGCATCAGCTGTGGTGCAATCAGAAACTCGGTCTTGAAATCCTTGAACGTTATAGAATCCTAGACTCGCTCTAGATAAGGGAGAGGACACGAGGAGAACTTAAAGCAACTCGTCGCTTTTGCTGGAGTAGATATCCAGTCATGACAACTCGCTTTGTGTCAGCAACTCCGAGATGACGGGTCTGAAGGTGTCGGGATTTCTTTGCGGAGACGTTGGGGAGAAAGAAAACGTGAGCTCTCTGTAGACTTGCATGACATGGTCGATTCATCTCGTCTTACCGTCCGAGAATTTGGAAGAAGCACGCCACTGGTATCTCGGTGAGTGTCGATGCAAGGATAATCCTGATGAAAATCTCCAGCCTTCTTGGAAGTCTAAGCTCGTTCGATCTCACAGCTGAGTCAAACGCAGTTTCTAAAGTCATGGTGTTGAGCTAAATATGGAATTCAAAAGCCAAGTGATGGGCAATTCTGCGGCTTGTGTTGAGCAATGCCATCTTCACATCGCTCCACTCGTTCGCTAGGTCTGACATTGGCCAGTTGGCTGATCTTAGTACGGCCAGATTCAATTGGCCTCACTAACAGGAGAATATTCACTCTGACATATTTCGCTTTCGTAAAACCTCCGTCTGGTATCAGCTTGAACTGATCAATCGCAGCTGCAAGAAGATATGCTGGATGTGGTTGGTATGTTGACTTGACGTGGTTTTTTGCAAAAGGTCGAGGCAATGTCGCGGCCTACTGCGGTCGAGGAATCGACCCGATCTGTTTTGGGGAATCGAATGTCATGAGCATGGATAGCTCCCGAGCAACTGCCATAGAGAGAATTGGGCTTTACAGAAGGCTGATGTTCCAGTCGACGCATCGCATTCAGTTTATGCAACGGAACTTCCAGCCGGTTTTACATCACCTTTTATATTTGTGCCCTAAGGTGAAGTGCTTGCTTCCATGCAACTGTATTTATATTTTGTCTGATCTGAGTTCCCTCAATTCAGAGCTGCTCTGTATCTTAAGATTCTTGGAATGCACAAGTGTATGCATGTCAAAGACTGTCCACTCTCTGCGTCATGACCTGTCTGAGCGCTCCAACGGGCTCATCGGGTAAAATGTTAGACAATGTGGTGGAGATGGCCGCGTTCGTGACCTTGGATATGTTGTCACACAAGTTCATTATTGTCCTCTGATACACTGCCCGCTGCATGCTGATAATGAATGACGGGATTCTTTGTTTGACCCTGCTATAGGCATCTTTTCCAGTCTCGCCAGCTAGTTCTGTCATAGATAGCACCATTTCAGTTGAATGATAGCATAGCCAGATGCCACATTGATAGATGTCGCTATTGCGATCAGCAACAATGAGTGATCGATCCGGCGGCAGGAGTCGCCATCTTGTCAGCTTCGGTTCTTGTAGCTTTTCATTAAATAGAATTCGGGGTTTGGTCAGAAAGAATTCGAGCCTCTTGACGTGCAGTAGTAGATGCTGGATTGAAGTGTATTTATCTTCGTAGACTCCTCTCGATCACTAGGTGTGAGCTTCTCGTGGCTGCTTGGGACAATCTAGAGACTAGCACGGTTTGTCAGAATCATTTAACAAATGAAAGCACGATGTATCAATGGAGAGCGACTCCGACACTCCTCGAATGACCAAAGTGTAGACGTGAGCGGGCCACGAACAGCTCGGTCTTTCCAATGAAGCACAGGCGGGTGATACGTCACCGTGACATGCAACAAAGAGGGCAGAAATTTGTCGTTGACTGATGATGAAGGATGGAAAGAGGAGTAAAAAATCGTAAATGCTAAGAGTAGAACTCTAGAATGTGAATCGGGGCTCCCGACACCGGCTCTCTGCGTTGTAAAACAGCAGGTCTCTAGCTAAAGAAAAGGATACACGACGGAGATATAGGACGGAGGCAATTTTCACTGCGTGCTTGAGTGAAGCATCCAGAGTCAAAGAGGAGGCGACAGCTCAACTAATTCTATTAAGGCCATCATGTCAAGATTTGTTTAAGACAGGCTCCGAAACTGAAGTAGACTGCCGACGATGGCGTTGGCGCCAAGGCAGAAGCCCGTGTAGCATCCCCGCCATCACTCACCACGAGGTCCTCCTGCTCCTACAAGTACAAACCCTCAGGCTCCCCCTCAGTCTTCGTCTTCATCACTCTTTCTCGTGCTGATCTGAAGTCTGCCATCTGGACCCTCATCCTGCGCTCACGGAGGGCCATCAGTCCAGCCTCAGAGCAGATGGCTTTGATGTCAGCGCCAGAGAGGTCATCTTTCTGGTTGATGAACTCGTCAAGCTCGACGTCGTCGTTTAAGGACATCTTGGATGTGTGGAGGGTGAAGATCTTCTTCTTGGTATTCTCTGTACACAGATTAACACTGTTGACGATGGTGAAGGGAGGAGTAGAGTAAAGGCGACCTACGATCTGGGTTCTCAAAAAGAATTTTGCGGTCAATTCTTCCAGGGCGAATGAGGGCAGGATCTAACGTGTCAATCTTGTTGGTGGCCAGAATGACCTTGACATCTCCTCTGTCATCAAAACCATCCAGCTGGTTGAGCAACTCTAACATAGTCCGCTGCACTTCACGCTCTCCTCCAGATGTTGACTCGTAACGCTTTGTACCGATGGCATCAATCTCGTCGATGAAGACAATCGAAGGTGCGTGCTCGGCGGCGACCTGGAAAATTTGACGAACCAGCCGTGGCCCATCACCCAGGTACTTCTGAATGAGTTCACTGCCTACGATGCGAAGGAACGTAGCGCTGGTCTGATTTGCAACGGCTTTGGCGAGTAAAGTTTTCCCGGTCCCAGGTCCACCATAAAGTATGACACCTTTTGGCGGCTTGATCCCCATCTCTTCGTAAAGTTCCGGATGCAATAGTGGTAGCTCGACAGCTTCTCGTACTTCTTGGATCTGTTGCTCAAGTCCACCGATGTCTGCATATGACTCCGTAGGTGCCTTGTCTAACTTCATGACCGACACCAACGGATCCGCGTCATCCGTCAGGACACCAACCACCGAGACTGATTTATGATGGAGCAAGATGCTAGCTCCAGGCTCGAGAAGGTCCTTGTCGACGAAAGACATGATGGAAACATAGTACTCAGGCCCAGTGGCGCTGGAGACGATGGCGTGGTCATCGTCAATCATTTCCTCCAAATTGCCGACGCCCATCGGGCTGCCTCTCATATCATCAACACGACTCCTTTCGTCGGCATTCCTATCCAAAGCATCGGAATCTCCACCTGCTGATGCTGGAGTGGCAGTGTTCTGTGCCTTTGCTTTGCGTATTCGCTCTTGATTCTCTACGTATTCCTCTTCAAGTAGGAGGTGGTCATGTACACGTTGCATCCGTAGGTACTTCAGCTTGCACCGAGATGTAGGATAGATGACTGGTAGCTTGGTTGATGCATTTGGACCAGCGGCCTTGCGCTTTCTTCGGCCGATACGCGTCGTCGGAGGTGGAGGCTGTTCATACTTGGGCTTGTCCTTCTGTGATGACCAGAATATTAGCTGGACTCCAGCATCAGTATGGAGACGCTGAGCACTCATACCTTTTTGTCCTTGTCATCCTTACTATCTCCACCTGGTGGGGCACCACCAAGACCAGAGGTATTGTTTCCCTAGATGGACGTTTCATCAGTCGCTGTTTGAATCGCCGCCATGAACACCGAACGAGCTTACCATGACAAGTTCAATCAGATATGAGTCAGTCAGGTATGGGCGATGAAGGCTGAATGCTCGAGATGTATTCAAAGAGCTGTCCAACAAGAGTGGTGAGAATAGTGAGGCGATAGGGTATGGTAAACGTGGACAAGTGATGATGAGAGCTTGGCTTGGCAATTCTGCGCAGCTGGCGATCTTTGATCTGATTGGCCAGCAAGCTTTCTACCAAGAAACTGCAGCCTTACCAACGGCAATGATTCTGCGATGCAACTCTTCACTTCTCGGATTCCTTTATGTGAATCATACTCGCTCTCAGAGTGAAGCTACTACTCAACCCGAATTTACACTCTGATGCTTTCTCGCCATTGACTCACCACCACCACGCTGTGCTATCTTCCGCAAGCTACCTCTAGATCTCCGACTCATCTCGAGACTGTCACACCATCTCTTTGTCCATCTCAAGGTCGACATTGACAGCACAAAGAAATTTTGTCTTTACAGACAGAGGTTGCCTACAGGTCTCACAACACAAAGCAGCCTTCGGGCGGAGTCGCTACAATAACTTTGTTCAATTCCCAGCCATCTCTCCTCGTTATAAACTCATCTATAACTCGCCTTCCACAAGCTCATCTTCACATTACCTCCAGCCATGTCATCCAGCCGTACTCGCCGCATTGCAAAAGAAGTGGCCGATATCCACTCGGACAATCTCTCAAACATAAAGGCAGATCCAGTAGGGAATGGAGATGACCTGACCCATCTCAAGGGCTCCTTCAAGGGTCCACCTGGCACACCATATGAGGGAGGCACATATACGATCGACGTCAAGATACCTAATGACTACCCTTTCCGGCCGCCAGTGATGAAGTTCGATACAAAGGTATGGCATCCAAACGTTAGCAGCCAAACGGTAAGTGAATGCTCTCCTCCCATTATTTTACAAAGCCGCAGCTGACAAACGGACTGATAGGGTGCCATCTGCCTCGATACTCTCTCCACTGCTTGGTCCCCCGTCCTTACCGTCAAATCTGCTCTCTTGTCCCTTCAATCCCTTCTCAGCACGCCAGAACCCAAAGACCCACAAGATGCAGAGGTGGCCGGCATGCTGACGAGGAATCCGAAGGAATTCGAACGGGTTGCCCATGAGTGGGCTGTGAAGTACGCTGGGGCACCGAAGAAAGAGACTGGGGAAGGTAGTGGTGGCTCCAAACCGGAGACAGCAAAGCAGAAGCAGAAGAGGTCGAAGGAGGAGGAGGCGGCAGAGAGGGCTGCTCTGTATGTTCACCCCAACGTACTGCCCGCAGGTGCGGTTGCTGATATCTACAGGTACGGGGGATATAACGAACAAATGATCAACCGCTTCGTATGGATGGGCTTCGACCTCGACCGGGTGGTCTCAGCCTTTGACTACGTCGGCATTGATCCCAACGATGGGGAGGATTACGAACTGGAGGAGGCATACATTGGAGACATCACAGCTAGGCTTTTGGGCGAGCCATAGCAGCGAGTGCTCAAGGTTTCTGCTGCTCACGCATGGTCTGGTGTTAGGATAATGGCAAGCCTGCTACCGGGAATGAGACTGAAGCTCAGGATTTGGAGCTATGTATAATGACACCCATCACTTGACTGTTGGCATCCCGGAGTCTCGTCTAATTACGACACGTACATTCTCCTGGGTGCATGCCTCCATGCTAGATACCATTCAATGAGATATGATTTGCCACTCCCCAAAGTCTCTTGTTGCCCATCTCTCTTGGCATGATCAACAAAAGATACGCACAAGGAGATCAACTTAGGCTTCAAGCAAAAGATTGCTGATCACAAACTTCGTTGTCCGTGCCCAAATATATACTGCGTACCTACATTAGTCGCTCACAACCTCTCAATCTCTAGCGTGGGGTGAGAGCCGTTACAAAGTTGCAACCCTAATAAATACCCGTAGAGGCGTGACGCGGGAGCCGTAATGCGGGGAAGGCGCAAATGAATTCTTGGCTTTTCCTTTTCTTTTCCTTTCCTCGAACCCTTGCCTCTCTTCTACGGCACGGCACAGCGACTAGACAACTGACCTCATGCGCAGGCATCATCTGTTGAACGACATACTCTCATCACGCTACCCAACAATGTTGCTGTACAGTTCGCAGCCGGACAAATTCGCTCCTTGCTCCTCGCATCTCGCGTCGATCACGAGAACCGCTACATTCGCCCCTCCAGCCCTCGAGCCGGAATCCGCTGTCTTTGGTGAGCAGCTACTGTTGTACTGCCGAGGAAAAGACCGCAGATGACTTCCACTGGGAAGACCGAAAAGCAAGAGATGCCGTACGAAGCGTTCGACGACGAGCCTGCACTCGGTGGACGAATTGCGACAGAGTTCGACACGCACGTTGTGCCCACCTTCATCGACCGACACAACATAGGCAATGCACGAACACGAGGTCTCGGCTCGATCCTCAAGCTCGGGCAAAAAATCTCAACATCGTCCTCGTAGTCTTCTACGTGCTCTACATTCTTATCGACGTCCCAAGCAACTGGTTCGTTGAATTAGTTGGCACCGGACACTACTGCCTAGGACTCGTCAGTCGTCATCGGTTAGGGAATCGTAGGAACGCGTCTAGGCACTGTCAAGAGGTATCGCGGCCTTATCGCTGCACGGTTCTTCTTAGGACTCTGCGAGGCAGGCTTACTTGGAGCCCTGGTCCTCTATCTAATGTTCAACCATTGACATGAACTGCTGTGCCGCTGGGAACGTTCTACTGCGCTGCACCTTTGGGTGGAGCCTTTGGTGAAACTTTTTGCCTCTGGATTGGCTAAGATAAGGTTCGGTGGACATGTTCGATTGTGGAAGATTCACTTTGTGGAAAGATTTACTTTGTGGAAAGATTTGCTTTTCGGACAGATTTACTTTTTGGAAAGATTAACTTTGTGGCAGGGCTAGCATGGTGCTGTTCTTCATCCCACATACGCCTGAACGAGCGACGTACTTGACGGAGGAGGAGAAAGCTGCGGCTTCTTTTTGCATGAAGTTCAATGCCTATGGAGCTAGCAACAAGTCCGACTCAGAATTTGAAACGTTCCCATGGACGTGGGCTTGTATGGATGTTGTAAAGCGGATACGGTATCTCTGTCATAAGATCTCCTTGTCATTATTACACCAATCTACAGCTTCTGCCTTCTTCTTCCAGTGGGTCTTCATGTCGCAGCGATCCTTCCCTGATCAAACGCAAGGTTGAGCTGTAAGACCCGTCTCGGGAGCATTGGAGTTTCGTGAAGATGTCTTGTGGCTGAAGCAGTACTTGAAAGAGAAATGTGGACTCCGAAGACTTGAAAAGCATCAGCTCTAGTCTCGGCTAGAGTAGCGTCATTGCACAGCTCTCTATGATCCCGCCCAACACATGGGCCTTGATTGGGTAGCAGAACTTTCAAGAGTAATGCTCTGCACATACCTGTCAGACGAAGTTAAGGCGCGAGAGCCAATCGTGATAAAGGTTGCTCGCTTGCATTTGTTGGTTACACAATGCCTTATGTTCCTGCAAGGCCCCGAATGCATCATGGACAGTGATTGGCTTACACTGATCATCCTGCGCATTACTGACTCAAGCGTAGAAATTTCTTCGTCGCTGCAAGTCATTCGAGGCTGCGCCATATTGCAAGACTTTCAGGTGTAGTGGCGGTGTCCTGGGCGTTACTGACTCAAGCGTAGAACTCTCTTCGTCGATGCCGGTAATTTGAAACTGCGCAGTGTTGTAAGACTTTCAGGTGAAGTAGTGGTGTCCGAGGCGTTCTGTCAGGCTCTAGTGCAATCATAGGCTTGTACCAATCGAGCCGCATCTGCAATATGTGCAGGAGTTACAGTAAGCAAGGCTCGCCAATCATCTCACCCTTGATTACTCGAACCTTACAAGGACTGGGTGTGGGCTGGCGATCGATGCTACGTTCATCGCAACTTTTACTTGTTTGCGAGGCGATGCGTAAGCGAGCCATTTTTTTGGTACGGCTGCGTGTAACTGATAAGGACCTCTAGGCCTCGCTACGTGACGGAACATCCCATCAACAACGGAAACCTCGTACGGAGTATCCTCTCCGATCTTGTCTGCGGCTAAAAAAAATATGCTAAATAGGAAAACATGAAGCAGGCTAAGGGCGAAAGGCTTGCCGAGCACCACGAGAATAACTTTGAACATCGGCAACCCAGTATTCAGGTACACCATTCAGCTGAGGGCTTCACGATCAAGGAGCAGGCTTTGCCGGCAGTGTACGGGACCACTACCAGACTGTCGGGCTTTGATGTTGCATTCTCAAAGTTCGGCCGCCGCCCCAAATAATCGATTAAACATTTGGATAAAAAAGAAAGAAAAAAAACGTCCCGAATGGTGTCCAATTAGGGAAGTGGCTATCAGTTCGAATTAGCCACCCACGAGCAACCACGACATTAAGCATTTCCACGATATGGAGGGTACTCCAAATAAGCTCCTAAATTCCGCTGATCCTTGTCCGTATCTGTCCGGCCGAAGCAACCCGGGGGTGATGCTACAGCTGATTTGAGAAGAAAACGGGGTCCTGCAGGTGAGCTTATGATACATGCATATGCGTATGCAAGTCAGCACGGGATGGCGCATTATAGCCAGTCATATGCCAATAGATTGCGTACCCCGGCACGTTCTATAATCAGTGGTGGCTTCGCGCTTGTCGCCTCTTATCTTTTGACTTTCTCGCTGCGCTCCTGTCTTGTTAACTTGTTCCATCCAGCGTTTAGCCAACTGCTGGGCCGCGATTCAAGAGTAGACCCACTGTTTCTCACTTCTTTTTTATGTTGCAGTATTTCCATTCTTTTCCTCCGGCATCTTGCATGACACTGCATACACCAAGCCAGATGAGGCCGAGTCTCTCGAGTCTCATCGCATCACAATTGAACAATGCCTTGGTTGGACGCGGAATTCAGGGAATGGAGCTGTCAGACGGGCACATGTGGATTTCCAGAGAGTCTACGTACCTTTCGCCGCTGCGGGTCCTCCAAGTTCCTAGGAACAGCGCCAAACAAAAAGGCCTCACGCAAGCCAGGCGTGGGGCAGACTCAAACGGTCTGCTCTTCAGCATCGAATTCCACGAAATCGCTCTGTCAGTCTCTCGCTTCTGCATTATCGAACCAATGCCAGATGAGATCAACGGCGTGCCTGCGCCGACATTATTCTATGGGTCCAGTAGTATCGGCAAAGGCCTTGGCTCTCGTATCGAGACTCGAGAGCATGCAGGTCTGCAGGTCGACCTTCTCGGACCCTAGAAAGCGTGTTAGCTTCTGCTTGCAGGATCGCTGATCTGGAGCCCTTGTAACTCTTACGGCCATGTCGGCACTTTCCCACCACGGTACCTTCCCAAGACTTCACCATGTCCGGCACCGCTTCATCTGGACATGATTTCCATTGGTGCTCCGAAAAAGAGTGGGCCAAGCTATGCGAAGAATTCAACCACACATAACATACCCACCATGACTCAACGAACAGGTCATAAGACAGCTAGACAAGGGCTAGAAGAAGGCAGGCCCCCCAGATCTCTACTAACAAGCACAGGACCTCCGCCATCAATCGTTAATTCAACACTCGCTGCAAACCCACAACACCCCAGGACCAACCCCTCAACAACAACTTTAACACCAACACCCAGTGAATACTCCCCCTCATCACCTCGACCATGAAGACCTTTACCACCCTCGTGGCTGCCTGTGCAGTTCTGTACTCGGTTTTCTGGTAAGTACAACATCTCCGTTCCTTCATACAATCAAGCATCTTTCTAACCAGCCCCAGTCCAGTCGTTGCTGGCCCTCTACCTGAGATACACGCCGAAGGCCGTCAATTCGACTCACGCTTCGCTCCTGTTGCTCGCCCCGTGTTCCCTCGCAGCTATTGGGACAACGTCACGGCGACCGACACGACTCCAGCCCCAAAAGCGCATAAACGCTCCTACCCCGCCGGACCCTCAGCGTCCGCCTACGTCTTCCATGCTAGACACTTCGGCCCAGAGGCCTAGGTAGATGGGTCATTTGTCTCAACGACGAGGACCCCGGAAGCTCCCCTGAGGGTCGAGCAAGCACGACAAGGTATCCCTACTACTAGGACACAAACTAGACGGACATTGGGTGAAGACGGCGTTAATGATAGAGGACGTTCCCTTTTTGTGATGAGATCATGATAGATCGCACTGATTTGATGGTGGATGGGGCGGGGATGGACTGGGGCTGTTGCCAACGAATCGCCAGCTGGGCCGCTCTTATTTTCCTCTGGGGGTTGGGGGTCTTCGAATTTCTGACACTGTCGTTAGTCCAGAGTTATCAATGAAATTGACGCCAATCCCTCTTAACTATCAAGAATCTGCCGCTCCTTGATTTCACAAGCCGCTCTGGCTTCCGCTTCTTTGCTGTGCCTGTTCAACCTGTTGGTTTTTGGCGCCCTAACCCTACACTTTCTACCTGACGACACATATCGCGTCGTTTTGATTGTATTGCGACACAAATATCAAGAGCATTGTTTCTAGCGTTCGCGTCCGTCTTTGACCTTCTCACGATTACGGGGGTTAAGAAAGAAGACAAAGCAGGAACGGTGCTTTGTCCAGACACAATAACATGCCAACAATGCTTTTGTTCCCAATCTTGTCTACAAAGACAATGTTCCCAGCGCCATCGATTCCTTGCCTCTATAAGCCCTCCCTTTTCCCCTCGTCTCCACTCACTTTCCCATCATCCTCCACAATCTCAAGCCTCTCACCAATCTCCACCCAGAAAAAAAACCCCCATTCAACCGCCGGAAGCAACGGAACCAAGACGAACCACACAAAACGAGCAACGATGCATTCCGCCACCCTAATCCTTGCCCTCGGCTTCACTCTGGCTTCAACCACCAGCGCCGCTCCACTGTCGGGTCCACTCTTCACAGCCGTCAGCCGGGTCCCCGCGAGCACCGCCACAGGAGCGGCCAACGTCACCGCAGGTGAGTTCCCCAAGCACCAGCACACCCCCGACTGTGAGCATAATTACAATGCTGCGAAGCACAACGTCACGGACCACAACAAGACCACCGAGGCTCCAGGCCATGCTACCGAGGGAAATGATGACGAGCGTGCTACTAGAGCCATGGGCAATCCGTCGCCGTACCCGAGGAGGTCTAACGCAAGTGATTACGCGCACCCCCACGCCGTTCAGGCACACAACCACACGGGCGACTACTGCGACCACCCTTCCCACCACCACCACCACCACCACAACACCAGCACCACTGACGCTACCTACGACAAGCTAATCCACCCACCCAAGACGATCAACGCGAGTGCGGACCCATCGCGCCCCAACAACGGCAGCACCACCACCACCGCTGGCCCGCGTCGCCCGGACAAGAGATCGGTGCCGATGACGCCCAGGGTGGACGTGACGGTGTGTCTGGGGACCGAGTGCAGGGATACGGCCGTTGTGACGGCGGACGTGGACGGCGCCGGCGAGCTAACGGGTGTGGTGGTGGGGGCCAAGGACGGCGGGCGCCTGGGCCGGCGTCAGGAGATGGACTTTTCGTACGAGGACGTTGCGCGGCAGATGTCGGGGGCAGGGATTGCCGGGGGGGTGTGAGGGTACTGTGGGACGGGTGGTGGGTAGGGGATTTTTTAGTTCCGTTGTTTTGGGGGGGGTTGATGCCTGATGGTGCTTCGCTTCTGGAGAGGGTTGGTAGAGTAGTCGGGATCGGTAAATATAGACAGTCTTGTTCGCTTTCCGCACCACTCTTTTCCCTTTTCCTTTCCCTTTTCCTTCGATCTGCGCTACGATAGGTCTGTCCCATTAGGGTTGATTCCCGTTCCAGTGTGGTGTGTAGACATGTCATCACGAGTGTGACAGCCTCGCTAACGGAAACCCTCCAACCTCTGCCGTTGGCCTCTCGATCCCTCGATCTCCTTGCCCCCATCCAGGGCGAGCAAGCGAAGTTTTCGCAATGGCCGTTGCGCCACCGGGGCTGGCCCTGGAAACCCGTCCTTGCACTCACACTGCTGCCAAGGCCATCGGAGGATTTCCAAACACCGCCACTTTCAAGCCTCGGGCTGAACTGTCCCTGCCGTCAGCAAATGTCACATATACCCCTTGCAGCGCAGCTATGACCTTCTTCTCACCTCACCTCCCCAATCCAGCGCGGAGAAGCGAGATTGTCCTTTTTTTTTCTTTTCTCCGTTTTTTTGGTTTTTGGGACGAAGGATGTCGCGGAGGATTCCTGCCTAAATCCTGGAAAATGCCTCAGGTGCTAAAGAGGAAGAGGAAGGAGGTGGACAAGGCCTTGTGCATGAACGAGCCTTATGCATGTCATGCATACATTCGGCGCTAGAGCGAGTGCGGACATAGTCTCTTCGGTTTGAAAAGAATGCTAAGAGTGAGAGATGGTGGCTCGCGTAATTTTGAATCCTTTCCTGATCTGGGCATTTTAATTTTTTTGGGCCCTGCATGATGCATGACGCATGATTTGCTATTTTCCCACGCAAGGTCCCAGTCTTTTGCATGAAGAAAAAAGGAAACTATTGATTTTCTCGATTCATATATAAAGTAGAGGCGGTGTGCCCGAAAGCGGGATGTGTGGTTTTCGTCACTATTCGTATTTGTGGAGTGTTGATGAATGAGACGGACGACCCTTCTGCTTGTTTGCTGACATGAGTCATGACTTGCTGCTTTTCTTCCAGCTTGGCAACGGTCAGCACACCCACAACCTAGGTGCTACATCTATCTGTGACAGAAAGAGACAGTCGTCGAAGGAATGTCCCGCGTGTGACTAGTAAGCCTCGCTGCCTTCCTGGCGCGTGCCGTTGATGGCGCCACCTTGGTGTCTCCTCTACCTATTTGCTACAGTGGTGCATTTTCCTGCATTTTCCTTCTATCCGACCTCGATCTACTCTCCTATATCCGACCTGGTCTGTCCAATTCTGCAAATTCCAGTGCCGTGGTAAATCCACAATAAGCTACGTTGATCGTTTTGTTCGTATAAATTCCTCTCACGCCTATCGAGACTGCTCCATGTTCGGATCTTCGATGATCCAATATTTGCTGTTTTTGCACTACGATAGCCCCGTATCCTCGTACGACGACCCTGAAAAATGCAGTGGCGCGCCTCTCCAAACTTTATGCGACTTTCCCATCCTCCGCTTCTTCCGCTGTGGGGGATGGTGGGTAGAAGAAACCCGATGTGAGTGAATACTTACACATGCTCTCAACGATAGGTTGGAGCAACTTGGAAAGGCTCGTTGGAGTCTAGAATTCGTTGGACCCTTGCGCGACTTTTGGCAATGCCGTGAGGCCGTCTTCCTTCGGTGTGGGGGAAAACTACCCGGCAATGATCGGATAGGTATAGGTATATGCTCTTCTTTTGAGATAGACCATGTCTAAAGCGCCCATTTTGATTCTCGTCATGTATCAGCGAAAAACTGTCCTTTCCGGGACACCCGTCCACTCTCGGTCACATTTTCTATCCCGAAATCCTCAGAAGACACCACGAACGAGGTATCCGCAGAGCGAAGTAAAGCCATCAGCCGACAAAGCACATCTGCAACCCACCCGCCTCCCATGCATCTCCACACCCTCCTCATCAACCTAGTCCCCCTCATCATCCTCATCGCCCACATCACCACTCCCCTCGCCCACCCGCTAACCAAACGCACCAACTCCTTAACCCTCTCCGGCCTCACCCTCCGCGCCATCCACCCCCTCGCCACCCTCCTCCCCCTCCAACTCGCCGCCTCCTCCCTCGAAGCCTTGTATGCGACCCTCCACCACACCGCCGCCGCCGCGCTGTCCGCGAACCACCTCGCCGCCGCCACCCCCTCCTTCACCCTGACGTACGGCGGCGTCTTCGAGATCAGCTTCGTGGCGGCCGGCGGGCGGGCGGTGCCGTGGGCGTTTGTGCGGGATTTCGCCCTCGTGATGCAGGTCTTGTCGGGGCGGGGGTACACGGGGTGTTATGATCAGGGCTACTGGGACGAGGGGGGGGAGTTTGGGGTGTTTGTCGGGTTGAGGATTTTGGGGCCCTTGGGGCTGACGGCGCGGGTTTGAAGAGGAGGAGGAGAGGGGGGGCATTGGTTCGTGCTGGCTGAGGATGTGAGTGAATGTATGGATGATGGGCACTACCGAATGCGGAAGGGGGTTCTTGATAGCACCGTTCCAAAAACGTTTCGATGAGAAAGCGGAACTTATTCGTTCACGTCTCTTTTCTGCGAGTGAGCATACTAGGCTTCCAGCACCTAGAACCTCGTATCCAAAGTGGGACATTGCTCGTCCGTCGATCGTAGACACGAGAAGATGGTGCGCTGAGCTGTGATGTCTCTCTCCAAGAGCGAGTCCTGTATCCTTGGCTTGCGGAATCACGAGTGAGCCGATGAAACCATTCGCGGGATTTAATAAAGAGGAAAGAACTTCACTCAAATTTGTCTACGCACTCACGCATCATTTGGCCAGCTATTACTTTCGACGAAGAAGGCATCATCTCAACTACCGGCCGGGTATAGAAAGAGACCGCTGACCTGAGTGGCTGACGAACTCGTAGGAACGCTGCGGACAGGTTGTTCTTGAATCTTCAGGGGCATGCACAGAATGCCCAAGAGTGCTCTCATAAGCATTTCGATCGCTCGCTCATGACTCTTGACGAAGACTGCATTTGGTGAGAGTCTTGGTTTGGTTTCTATCCCCAAAATAGGCCGAGTCTTGAACATCCGCTCGCGGCAGTGAAAAAGCATGAATTGTACTGATTTGATTTTGCCACGACGGTTCTAATGGCTTGTGAATCAAATCGCAGTTGCGTAGATATGAAACACGGCAAGTTCTTCCTCAGGATACACTGCACGCCCATGAATCCAAGATGCAAAAGAATCTATCAGAGTCGCGTCAGGACAATGTTTGGAGGAAAGTCCGCTTTGAAAAGCAGTGCAACACTGTTCGGCAGCAGCTAGCCTATGTTGAAGAGACAACTGATACTAAAAGCCGTCATACTCCAATCTTTGGACTCTGGAGACGTTATGTGCCCTCCTTTTTGCCTCGTAACCATTGCTTAGGCTCCACTAGCCGTCGCAAAGCTAATCCGTAATGGATGATGTTGAGGTTCTCAGCACCTGTACCGCCTACAATGGCAGCACTGGTGTTTCAGAGCCGTGGACAAACACCTACTCCAATCTTCAGCAGGCGCATTGGTTTTGACCAGAGCTGGTTGCAGCGAAAAGCCAGGCTTACAGCGGCCGCTCGTGGAGGAACTAGGTTTGACTTTGGAGGCGATGACATTGCTGCATCAATTCGAGGCAGTTTGGAAAGGAGTTATTTAAGATGAATATAGATTAGCTCCTGTTGCCATAACAACCCGGGTGACATCAATTTACCCCTCTCCTCACGTTTCTTCCTCTGCTTACGTGCAACGAACTCTGACCATGTCACTCATTCAGCAACCCTCACTGGATATTGAAGCAAACCTGTTCTCACTACCTCGAGAGATTCGTGACCTCATCTATACTGCGCTGCTCCAGATCCCGAATGACCCACCCACATCGCCCGAGGAGGCGGGCCCGCGCTTCAGGAAAGGGAGCAGTCTCTACTCCGTGGAGCGATACCCTGAGGCCGTCTATGCTGCCTTACTGCGCTGCAACCGTCAACTTAGAGATGAATTCCAAGAGGTCCTGTTTGCCCGTCAGCCAGTTCGGGACTTCAGACTCGATTGTATGATCAAAAGCGACGGCCTGTGGCCAACATGGATCTTGCTCCCTTGTCCAGGGACGCGGGACATAGGGGTACTGAATGTGGACCTTCGACTCTTCAACGTCGGTCATGGCCATGATCAGTATGTTCAGTTTTTTGACGATGGTAGGTGCTCTCCGAGTTCTATTTCCTACTAAGCACTATCCCCTCAGTCGCGAGACAAAATTTAGGGACCAAGAGTGGAACCGCAATTGGGGGTTCTAATTCTAGTCTTCCCACAGCGACTGTAAAAAAGAAAGACTAACCCAAGCCAACCACCACAGGTGGTCCGGCCACGATCTTCACACCTCTTTTCCAGCTCCTCAACCGCTTTTTCCATCATGGACCTCGATTCTTCAGCTCTAGCGCCAAAGATGATGTACATGGCCGGAATTTGCATGTTAATACGCTGTGTATGACACTCATACACGAGAGGCCAGGGGCAAACTCCAATCCCGACGATCCGCTGTACGATCAGAGACACATTCGTAGTACTTGCTGGTTCGCGCTACTCAAGATTGCAAACTCAGGCCTGCTCCTAGGCAAAATAGAGAAGCTAAAGTTGTGCTGGCGTGACGAGATAAGAGAGGCCGAGGTGAAGGGCACTGGGGAGAGGCGTGACGTTGCTGAGTGGGATTTGTATGGGTTCCGTTGGGGTCCCTGAGGCGGTAGATTGATACCTTCACCCACGTCATAGAACCGCCAGCCTATGATATGGAACATCACAGTTCCATTTCTGGAGTACTGCAAATACAGACAATGACAAGTACGATGTGTGCGAGTATGTGAGAACATCCGCAACTCTCCGTCGCCGTGTCGAATTCCGAGCCCAGCTCTTTCTCACCTAACCTTCCGCTCATCTTGTGGTCTACGGCCAACTTTATCTCAACACCCATCAGATGGTTACGCTTCAGTATGCAATGGTAGCTCCGACTACATGAGTGGGGAACGTCAACTTGAGCCTATATCAAATTGCGATGCTTCAAATATGTTACTCAGGATATGTGTTAGCAAAAGAAAAGCGCACTGACAACACTTGAGGCTCGCGAACGCTTGTTCCAAGATTTTTGGATTGGACATAACTAGCTCGTCTGAACGATCTAATCATTCCTCGCTCACTGTCTATGACGCTTGGTTACTAGGTCACTGTGCTGAGTATCCGACTCTGTTTCACTTGTCGAAGAGCCTTGCCCAATGCTCGATCTCACAACATCTGCTGTGGAGAAGGGACGAGCCCTCCGTATTCATTTCCTTCTCGTCATCTTTGATCTTTGCTTTGCAGCTCGCGGTGCACAACACATACCATCGAGGCGAGGAGGACGTGACCACTTGCATCATCGCCACTCGTAAGTGAGGTAATCAGAGCATCTTCCCAGCCGGGCTTTGGAATGAGGTCTACGATCTCTTCTGGATCCCCATAGCAGAGTAGTACTGTTGCAACGAGCAATATCTTGCTTCCGGCGAAGTCCGTGCTCGAAAATGTGCTGCGGTTGGTAAATTGCATTGTCTCGAGATCCATGGATTGGCTCTCCTTCGCGATCCCTTCATAGTTACTCTCACGCAACCGTTCCAGCACCGAGACTGACGATCAAGGCGAGAACCACTGTCCCAAAACCCACCCGCAACTTCCCACCTTCCCCAACAAATGGCACTACATTAGACCCGTTCGACGATCCACCCGTAGGACTCGTTCCACCACCAAACCCATACATGATCAAGCTTCCCAACGCTCCCGCTCGCGTCTGCGCCGCTGACCCCAACGGCATCGTCGAAGTGCCAATGACCAACTCTGAAGAGCCCAACGAGATCAAAGTACCATTCACCAACACGGCTGACCCACCGGGAGAGACCGACTGTGCACCGACCGCAAAGCCAGTGGGAATGGCGGTGAACGTCTCGGACCCGATCTGGAAAACAGACACGGGCGGCGAAGGCAAGGGAGTAGTTCTGCCATTGACGACAAGTGCATTGCGGCCCGAAGCCAGAGAGAACACGCTTCCGGCGTATGTCACCGCTGATCCTCCGGGCAGGACGCTTTGGCCTCCGATTGCGAAGCCAGTGGCCGCCGCCGTGAGTGTTTGGCCTGCTACTGTGAGGATCGGTACCGGAGGTGGCGGGACGGGTGACGTCTTGCCATTTATCACGAGCGCGTTCCCATCAGGAGCCAAAGCGACCGTTGTGCCGCTGACCGTGGCCGCTTTGCCGCCAGCGCTGATGATGTCACCGTTGGCGAGGGTAATGATAGGGTCCGCGGATGGAAGAGCTAAAGGAATGGTGCTGCTGGCGATGACAATCTGACCCTTTTCGACCGATAATGGTGTGCTATCTATGGTAGTCTGGACGCCTGGTCGAATTGTGGTGCTTGCTATAATGACACCACCCCCACTCGCCGCTTGGATCTGGTAGCCTCCAATTGACGGCAAAGGTTGAGCATAGTCTGCAGTGGACTGGTCGAGGTCTTCAGCAGGATCCAAGGCAGGTCCAGCGTTGTGCCCGCTTCCAGGGTCAGCTCCTGGATCTCCCTCGCTAATTTCGCCAGTCGGTTGAGGCTCGTTGGATTTGGGATCCGATACTACTTTAGGAGATCCTTGTGCTGCGTTATCCCCATTGAGAGCGATTGGAATAGCTGTCGAAGTAGCAGGATCATCGTTTTTACTATTTACGGGAGGTTGGATGGGATCTGGCGGGTTAGGCTGTTGTTCGCCGGGATCTTGGGGATCGGCTTTTGGATCGTTGGCGGAAGGCTTGACTGCATCTGGTGGGTGAGCGTTCTGCTGTCCAGGGCCTTGGGGATCAGCTTTTGGAGCAGGAGAGTGGGTTGCTGGATTCCCGTGACCAATCGGATTGGCTGTCGGTGTCGGTGGAGCATGTGGGGGAGCTACAGGGCTTCCTGGGGCAGGGGTAGGTTGCGAGCCTTTTCCCGGATCTGGAACCAGAGCTGTTGCTGTGTGCAGCGCAATTGGAGGATCAAAAGCACCCCAAAGCACCGCGTTGCAGGTACTCCATGCCGGGTCCAAGATGGTGAGGTCTTGAGGCAGGGATAAGTAAGGGCCATTCGTAGTGCTTTCCAGCGAAGCATCCAGGCCCATACAGGTCCCGTTATAGATCGTTGGATGCTGCAGCTCTGTGACATTGATTGCGGAAAATCCTTGATAAAAGCCTTCTGGTTCACCCGTGCATATCGATGTGGACAAAAGGCCTGGCTGATAAGCGATTGTGGTATTGTATACGTTTCCGCGCGTAAAGTCACCGTCGCCGAAAGACGGACACACATCTGATGCTCTCAAGTTACGATAGGCCACGTAGACTGATGGCGAAATGCTGCAGGTAGCGTCAGTATCAGGGGAGAGGCTAGAAGCCTGGGCATGGACTAACAACGTGACGCCATTCGAGACTAGACTTTGAGGATTGACTGTTGTTGTTGGTGCTGACGTGTTCGTCAGGCTTCTCGTGTCTGCATCGACAGGCCAGTAGAAGACTTGAACGTCTCTTGCGGTGATCCAGCACTTGATGCAACAGTCTTTCGGAGGCCTTGGGGATGAGAGAAGTCAGTCTCTCTCTCTCTACGAAGATAGTTTCAACAGGTGATGGGTTTCCAAACAAGTCTCACGACCATAAGAGTGGACAAAATGGACACGAGTCATTTCGACCGCGTTGATACATACAAATAATTAGGATCCTCGACAGTAGTGAGTGTCTCGAATGCCGTGAGGGTTTGGAGGTATATGTAGGGGCTGGGTATGCCAGATGCAAATGAGTGGACTAGGTCCGAACATGAACAGGCCGTTGAGTAAACATCGGGGTTTGGCGGTCCTCCATCCACAGGGCCCAATCCGTTCTGCTCTACTTGACACATAGATAGGTTTGCATGGGGGAAAGTAGTATATAAATCAGATGGATAGGGAGAGGACGTCCCGTTGGCTTTTATCGATACCGCTATATTTGTTTTATGCGTCAGTGCAATTGCCAGCTTAATTAGATTCTGCGTTTATGAAAGGCCGGGTTTATTGACCGGTGTAGGATATTGAGGGCTCAAGGCAACCACTCTGCTCCTCTCTTATTTTCCAAGACCAGGAGAAGACTTGGTAGAGAAGAAAGCAGCGGCTCTCAATTGAACAAAGTTGTCTTTGGGAGTGCAAAAGGGTGACGTACAGTTTGTAGACCTTGTTAAAGCAGCTAGTAAGTACAAAAGATTTATTAGAAAGGGATTTCTGGAGTACGCCGTAAAAATTAGTGTAGGAGACATTGGTGACCAGGAAAATATCAGCATGCAATATGAATAAACGCAGAACTTGCAAATCGAGAGAAGAATGCGATCAGAAGAGCGTGGACAAAAATCAGAGAAGGCATAAGATAAAGTTTTGATGCGAGCTGAATGGAACCCATACCTCGCCTGATCAAAGGCTCTGGCACAGCAGAATCACTACATTGGGGCTGTGAAGAGAGGGATCCGTCAGCATCCACTCGTCGTAATACGGCTCCGTCTTTCATATCTAGCGAGATTTGTCAATGGCTGTACATGATTTGTGTAGAGCACTTGCGGCCTTCTTGGCGGAGGAAGGAGGCAAAGCAGCACATTGTGCGGAGATTCATCCAATGTGCATTTCAGCTGCAATCCCACGTCTCGGATCCTTACGCCGATGACTTTGCTGGTTTGACGAACGGAATGGCGGACTGACCGACAAACATAGGGGGACTTGAAAAAGTCGCCCGCAGCTAGCTAGCCTCGACGAATAATGACATTTCAATAGTTCGTGTTTGAGTGTACGAGTGAAATATATTCAATTGCGCGAGATGCTACGAGTATCGAGGGTGGTTTGCATAAGTCCCTACGGAGTAGACAGGGCGTTTTTCGGAAGAACCTCGGTGCGCTAAGATTAACGTCTATTAGTGTGCGCGCAAATCTATAGAATTCTTCGACTTCTTGTTGTTGCCACTGTTATTCTTTCTCCCCTTTTTCCTGAATACTTACTGTACTCGAAGATTAAAAGCGGCCGAGGAAAACGATTTAACAATGAAGACGAACCACGTTGCTCGGGCCATCAGTAATTTGAGCATAGCGCAGCCAAACCCAGTCAAGTCCCTCTCCGATGTGTGATTCAGAGTAACAACGCTAAAGCCTTCGTTCACATCTCAGACTTCTTTGACCGTCGGTGCCCTATGCTAGGATGCTGTCAGCCACAATCCGTTTTTTCTCTAATCTGTGCTCTCGGCGACATAACCGTCTAGAAGACAAGTCTAATACTTTCCAGGCGGAGTATCAACAAGCGCAACCATTGTTATACGAATATCCGACCTTCCCTCCACCGCCTCCTCGAGATATCCTGGAGCGTCGATCAGAATATACCGCTATTCTTCGAGGCCGCAAGTATCTGGTTCCAGAAGGCGTACTGGCCGATAGACCACTTTACGCTCTGTACCGCCTCTACGAGTTCTTTGTTCTAGATAACGTCACGGGCTACCGAAACCAGCTCGAATACTTCTGGAAGCAGCGTAGCTGGGCTGTTAGAGATATTCCCGACCCTAAGGAGGAGGACCCAGCTCGATATGCATTCCTCGCTTGCATTCCTGCTTTACTTGTCAGGTCGTTCAATGAAAGGATCAAGTTGGGCCTTGCTCGCGATACTCCGGCTATCATATCGCCGGAAGAAGCTGAAGAGCTTAGGACTAGACCGGAGTCATCTAAGAAGTACGAAGAGGTGCCTGAGTGGACGGAAAATGTAGCAGCTCTTCCAGAAACGCTGGTCATGCCATCACATGATAGTATTGTGATGGAGGGATTTGATGACCCCAGGGCGTCTAGCTGGTTCAAACCCAAGAACATACTCATATGGGGCCCGCACATCCACTTTACATGAACTATGACTACGAAAATTTACGACTAGCTCCCTGATTTCGACTAGGCCGAGGAGGGAAAGGACGCTTGAACGAGTCTACTAAAGTACACAGGTCCTGATAGATCATACAACAAGCGCGCAGCAATCCGAGATAACGAGAAACCAACATGCACTGAGGTATCGAATTGAAAGGTCGGCAAACACTTCGTGGATGGCCTAACCAGTGATTCCGTTTCTCCTATACAGTCGCCGATACTCCTTGTTGACTGCACGTATCACATCGTTACTGGTGTCCTTCTGGTATCCTTGGCACCACCGCTTGATTCTAGCTGCAGAAATAGGTCCGCCGTGCTTCAAGATATGATAGTGGAGGTACGATGCCGCGTCTGTGATATCGTACGGCCGAGCTTGATCTGGACGAACCAGTCGATTCATCTTACCGCAAAGTGCGTAGTTCCACGGTGCGGCAACCACTTTCAGTCCCCTCCTTTCAAAAACACCCTCGTTTTGCTCGAGTGCTTCCTGAGTAACCTTACGATGGACGTTAGGTGGGAGCCATAGCATTGTCTGGTTATTGAACCATTCGCCTCCTAGCGGTGTCTGGCTCTGTCTTTCGGTGTACCTCGCGGCGTCGTCTAGCAAGATCCGCTGATCGTTGTTGAGATTCGTCCCAAAGAAGTCGACGTCGTGGGTTGACAGTCGGTTCTGCAGTAGTAGGGTATTTACGGCGCCTCCAACAGTGATGATTGTGATGTTTTGGCCCTGTCTGTCGATATAATCTGCCATCGTTGTCAAGGCTGCTTCGAGAGTCTGTCTGTCGAGCTCGTGATCCTCGATCCGGATCGCTCTTCCGTCACAATCAACTCGAGGTCTGGGGACGTGCATCATCAAGTCTTGAGGTCCAGAAATGTTGGTGACCTGGGCCCGATGTGGCGTTTTCTCCGTGGACATGCAGTTGCCCATATTAACGTTAGTGGCGGATCAATCTCGAATATCGAGGACTCAAGGGACCGAGGCATATGAAAATTGTGATGTGATCTTGGCTGCTTCAGTCAGCGTGGGTATAAGAAGAGTAAGATAGGCTTACAGAAAGGGAAGGCTTCTAGGTTAGCAGCTTCACGAAAGAACTTCGACCTTACCATCTTTTTATTGGGGCACTGAGATGTTTAACGACCTACGTGTTAAAAGAGCGTTACTTAAATCTGTTGACACCGTTGACATGCTTGGGAGTGTTTGCTCGTTTCATGAAGCTCTACTTATGCGGACTAGGAGAGAATCCAAATGATTGGCAGTTCAAGACCAACCCTGTTCTCAAGGTTTCCATAGCCCTTGATGAGTAGCCAATGCATACCTATCAAGCGCATTGCTTTTAGTTGGCACTTTAGCTACTTACGAGCTGGTGGGCTTGGACATACGCCAGCCCCCATCCGCGTCCAAGGAGTGAATATCTCGTTCCATTGGGTACACTTAGCGGAGGAGACGGTGCAGCTCTGCGTTCTAAGATCAAAAACTATTGGCCAAGCGTGTGGAACTGCTAACATGAGACCTCGCGTGTCACACCATACTGCTTAGAACCCCTGCAAGTCTTTGTTATATCCAGCGTGCGGCGTAGCACGGCCCCAACAATCAGCTTCCACGAGCGTGTAAAAGAGGACGCTCATTTGTGTTGAAGGTGGCGCCTATGCAGCTTTTTAGCGCTGTTTCGAAGCACTACTTGAGAGACCCTGGGACGCAGTCTTTTTAAAAGGACGCGATACTCTATAGCCTACAGGTACCAAAGCTCTGTAGTACCTAAGGTGTCATCAAACCTAAGAGCACATGAGAGTGATCATCGACCGTCTCGGCTTCCTGAGATCGGCGCCAAGATGCCCTCGAGAGCGTGAGGCGAGGGCACAAATACTGTTGCATGGGTATAACTTATCAATCTGTATGTTGGACCTGACATAGGATACCTCGTTCTTGGTTATCCCGAGAGTAATGGAAAAGTGTTGAAGCACTACTCAAGAAAACTATCCTTCCGTGCAGCGGAACCATTCCGCCCCTTTGCAACCCCACCCCCCGTCAAAGTTGCGCTCTTCAATCATGTCCTTGAGGAATGGTTCGGACCCTCGTGAACCAGAGTCAGCGCCTCGAATAGTCAAGCTTCCACGCCATCGTCTCCGCTCTGTCGCTTCGACCCTCAAATCCCTCCACCGTCTCCCATGTCCACCTCCTCTCCCAACCCACCTTCTCACCGTCGTCTGCATATCAGACACACACTGCACGCATCCGCCCATCCCACCCGGTAACCTCCTCCTTCACGCTGGAGACCTAAGCAAATGGGGTACGTTCTCCGAGATACAAGCCCAGCTCACATGGCTATCGGAACAGCCACACAAGTACAAGGTCGTTATAGCTGGAAACCACGATCTACTCCTCGACCCCGAGTTCAAAGAACAGCATCCAGAGAGGTGGCGAGAGGCCGCGCAAGCGGCATCTGATGATAAGCACATCGACTATATTGACCGTCCAGCCGCCCATCTCGATTGGGGAAACGTGATATACCTCCAGGATTCGTCCGTCACCCTGTTGTTTCATGGGGATCGCAGCCTTAGGATCTATGGCTCACCGCTCACTCCTCGGTATGGCCTCTCCGCTTTCCAACATCCTCCTTCAAAGGACGTTTGGACCGACAAGGTTCCCCCACACACAGACATCATCCTCACGCACGGCCCACCTCGAGGCCACCTAGATGGATTCAAGAAGTCTGGGTGCGCGTTTTTAACGCAAGAGGTCGTGCGAGTGCAGCCTTGCTTGGTGGTCTGCGGGCATATACATGTGGGATACGGGACTGAAGAGCGCGTTTACGATCAGGTGGGAATAGCCTATGAGCAAATTTCTGGGCAAGGAGCTGGATGGGGGACTTTACTGGGCATGGCGTGGGGTGTCACGTGGGGATATCTGATTCCTAGATCATGGCGACGGTCAGAGAGGAAAACGACTTTTGTCAATGCGGCGGTCGTGGAGGGATGGGAGAATCATAGGGTGAAGAACGAAGCCGTTGTTTTGCAGGTATGATGAGACGACGACTTACCGGAAACAAGCTACAAAATCCAGATCTGGAGGCAAAAGCAACGCGGCACGCATGGCACGCATGTATGTTGACTGGTCGGTCTCGATCATCTTTCTCTCGCACACGATCTACATCGATACAATATCAAAAGTACGCCTTCAAGGAGGTCCTTGCTGGGTGCTTTGGTATGCAGGCCAGCACACGACTCCGGTCAAGCACTGTGCATGCTGCCACGTTGGCCAATAGTGCCCAAAAAAGCTTACTGAGGCGACAGGGCATAGAATTCTTACCTCTAAAAACGTGGCGAGGATAGAGAGACGTATCCGGTCTTGGTGACCCTGACTTTGACACAGCCGCGGACGCTAGAAACGGTTAACCATCGCATGAACAACCGCATTTGTGTTGGACATCACCTGTCTTTCGAGCGGTACGTTGAGCAGGATATTGGGCTGTTGGCATAGAACTAGTTCGGTTGATCAGAGACTTTGATTACTATGTTCTCGAAATTCCCGAGGAATACAGCTACGTGCGTTTCAAAAGCTCTTTCTGCCGATTGGCCGACTTGACAACTTTGGACCTTGATGCGGATCATGCCAAAGGCTGTTCAAGGGCGCATATCTGCTGGTGCGTCAGTGGTACCTGACCGACGGAAGCGTATGAAATGTGAGTCCCGCCTTAAGGTTCTTGCGCATCAATCATAGTGCTGTATAATGCGTCTCGCTCGTGGCCACTATCACGAGTAACATTGCAGCTTGCCAACATATGTGAAACCGCCAGCTCTGGCAGTGGTAGCATCGCATTGTCATAAACGTGCAATTCCTGGCGCTTTCGAACAAGCAATGCGTATCGTTTCGATCAGAAACGCGGAATCAAGGAGTCTAATGGACATGACCCATTCCGATCAAGCTCTGTAGCCGACCATTAGTATTGCCTTGTCTCATACCTACGTGCATACGGAATCGGTCGATCAAAGCCGCACTCTCATGATTATTGAAGGTCTTCGTGTCTGCCTATAACGAGAAGCAAGGATATTGATATCTTGTTATCATATCCTTTATTTCCCATTATGACTCAATATCATAGCTTCTACGGTACCGAGGATCTAGAACGACCTATCCCCTTACGTTTTCCCTCTTAGCTTCCTCTTCGTATAACTTCGGAGTTGCCATCTATGTCAAAAAGATATTCGCTATCCTATCTCTATTTGCACCTTCAGTGAGCAGATAATCTTACTGCCACAGGTGCGTCGCCATATCAAAGCTGACAACCTCACGCAAAACACCTCACCACCTGCTAAGACAAAGAGCCTCAAGTAACACGTTCCTGCACACGACCAATGGCATCGTAGAGCAGCTGGTCGCCAACAGACAAGCCATCTCACCCTCGCCGCCAGCCTCCGCGAGTACATCATTTCCTGCGACTCCCTCCTTAGCCCCTACTACTTGCATCAACTTTGCCGAGACCAAAACCGCTAAAGCAAGATACAAGGAAACCTAAGACCAGAGCTAATTATCTGTGTGCGCACAGGACTAGAGCAAGAAAATTAATTGCGAAAGGTCTAAACATTATTGCCAAAATCAATGGATAGTGCTTCCTTGAAACTACTTGCAACTTCAGGAGCACTGGATGAGATTTCCAATGCGGATGATGGCTCCATGATTGAGCGACGGATTCTGTTGGTGGGTAGTCAGGGTGGGCTTGTGAAGGATGGGGTGACGCAAAAGTCCGTGCTTTTCGTTATATATCAGAGTGGGAGGTATGGGCCTCAGAATGGGTTTCGTGTTGCGCTGGTGCTGGAGGGGACGAGGATGGAGGAAGCTAGGGAGAGGTTGAAAGGCGTGGTGGAGGAAGACTCGGAGGAGTTTATTGTCATTGAGCCTCGATGATCGTTTTCAAGTCTTCGCTTTTCGAGCGTATCTCACACTGGAATTTGCCTTCCCCGCTTGTTTCTTTCCTTGCTGGCGCAAAAGCCGGGCGAATAAACCACGCAGGCACGGGGTACAGATCCGCTGCTTCAATCTGCGGCACTTACAACTCTTGTTTTTGCGATCAGTCGCTCTGACCCTTTCACCAACGATTGGAAGACATCAATCAACTGAGTGGATCAGACCCTGTATATCTCTCCACCCTGCCAAATCCAACTGCACAATCGCATCAAGCGTCTGCGCATGTCGCGTGCTATCTTCTTTCCTGGGTCCAATCTGCGCTAGTGCTCCACTGCTTCAATAGCCTGGCAAGACGAAACCCAAGCGCATCTGCCTGTGAAATCTTTTGCCGCCATGACTGGCGAGCGAGTGGGTCGTACCGTTCCGTCAGTCATTCCAACGTTCCTTGAATTACCTAAATTCAAACACCAGTACGCTGGATTTCGAAATTCCATTTGCTTTCTTGGATGTTGGGAATGTTCGCAATGGGTCTTGTCACTCCTGGGATTTTGCTATCGATCCTATTGACATGGGGTACTTGCATGAATAGCGATTTGACCAGCATTTCTAGGTATGGCACATCCTACATTGACCTGGCGAGCCTACACCAGGATGCACATTCCGCTTGATATTCCGAAGCTACCATGATCAAGGTACACGCTAACGCGCATCATTTGAAGCGCCCTCTCTCCTGTCCAGATCACTATCCTCTCCTCCAACGGCACTGACCTCACCCTCTCAATCCCGATCATGCACTCCCACATCCCACTCTCCACGCTTCAACGACGCTCCCCCGCCTCCGTCCCCATCCGAGATTGCCCCTTGGTCGACACATACACGTCCAACTCCTGGTGCCACCACGAACAATCCCCCCAAGATTTCGGGACTTCTTGCAACGAGCCACCACAAGCGGGCCGGACGAACCCTCGACAGCGTACATATCTGGGCGGAGGCAAATGCGCCAGTGATGAGATATGCGTTGGAAGTAACGCTAAGGACCCGGGTATCCCGCTCCAGGCATACTGCGTTTCCACGGACAACTTCGTGCCCATAGGCCACAGTCCGTCAAGTGGAAATGGGCAGAACCTAGCTTCTACGGGGATTGTTACGGCAAATCTTAATTCTGCTCTTTATAATAACAACGGGAGCCACTTGGGCGTTGAAGCCGTCGTCACGAGCGTCAACAAAGGGACGAGCTTATCTGCAGCCAGTGTGGTGATGCAAGCACAGACGTATAACGGGGTATGGCGCACGGTGACTAATGGCCGCAATTACTGCCTGAGGTGCTCGAGTGTGACTGTGGCACCTTTTCCGGCGACGGCGCAGAGGGTTAAGGTGGACGTGGTGTTGTCAGAGCTAATCCCGACGGGTTTACTTTGGCTGGCGTCTTATTCGTACTAGATGCTGTAGCATCCGATGGCAATGGCTTTTGTGCCCCTTGCTTATACGTTGTGAATGCGAAACGGGAACGAAGAGCGTTGTCTTCCATATCCAGTAAGCATGCATCAGAAGAGTTGAAACCAATCAACATGCTTGACACAAGGAATTTGACATCGAACATGCCTACGAAGAGAAGGCTGAAACCCATCGCGCGCCAACCATAAGACATTTCCTTGCGGTACAGTCTTTTTGCTGTAGGCTTCTACTAGCACTCGCTGGTCCTGGGTTCCTGATGCTACCATTGAAATGGTAGCAGCGAACAGAGCAGCCAAACTGCCAGGAAACTTTCCAGTCTAGAGCAGTGCCTTGAACATTTTCGGAGTCGAATTCTGGCATCATACCCAGAAAGGGTGTCTCTTGCGATGGAACTGTTTCGAAACTAAACTTGAATAACGATAGATCTCTTTATAGGTTCTCTCTCTCGCCGGTATGTCAAGGATTTTTATCATTTTGAGACGGCAAGGTTGGGGACAGAGTTGAACAAGCAAGCCTGGGATTTTGGTTGATCAGGCAGGGGCGGCGTCGTCCGTGTAGTCAGTTCTGCTGATAGGCTACCCTACATACAAGATATATGACCCGATAAACTTGTATAAGTTTGGAGACTTTGTTACTAGTGGGAGGTCATGAATAGCGTCTCCGTAGCAAACCAAACCAGCTTCACTGTCGCTACTCCGGCGATCGTGAGTTTGGCAAGACAAGAAGTATACCCAATAAAAACTTTTCGCTTATCGAAATATTCAAGACCTCCTGCAAGAATAGATTGATCGTGAGACTGCTCGCACGTATTACTGCGCACATAAAGCGGCGTTGAGACAACCACAAACAGAGACGCGTTCTTATGACCCGGATTATCGTCATCACAGTGCAGCTTTACAGAATGGCCCATAAGCGCTCCAGTTCTAGTCTAGATGACCATGCAAGCAAGCCCAATATATTTGCAAGAACAGACAATCTCAGCAGCCACAGATGCACTTCTGTCTGCAAATGCGCGCACCGTCGAGCTTGAACATCAAGTCCAAGCTCTACATGCTTTCATTGATGCCAATGGACTTATGAGAGGTAAGTGTCCGTATGCAGTTTCACCGAATATGGCGTGACCCGTAACAGTGGCACCTCAGTCGATTCGCCAGCACATGCTTACTGGTCCGGGCGCCGCAAAGACTCTAGGGAATCAAATAAAGGTTGCTGCCTGCAAAGTCAGCGATAAGCTCCGCACCAAGACCTCCGATGCGAAGAAGACCTGAGTCACCTCTGACGACATGAGCGAAGCCATGATGCCCTTCCTGCATGAATTGGAAGAGTTAAAAAAGCTCCCAGAGAGCACGGCCGTAGCATTTGATCTAGTCATGATCTTGGGCGAATACTCCTACGGTGAAATGGATAACAAAGGGTGTGGCTATGGCGACAGACCCTCCGATCGAGATGTCGACGGACTCCTTCTTGAGCTTGCCACGGAGGGTTGGTGACAAAAGTCGTTGCACACTTTGGTAGGGCTTAGCGGGGATCGGTGTGCAACGACTTTTGTCACCAACCCTCGCACGGAGAGAAAGAAGATTGACCCCTCTTAGAACTTTCCCGCGTACTCTACTCAACACACTTCAGCAAAGGGCTAGATACCTCCATGGCTAAGATTTCTGCGCCCAAACCACCGACCTCTTATCTGCGTGACAGAGGTCTGCCGATAAATGAAGAAACTCGCCCAAGGGCAAGGTCATGAAAGGTCCAGCCGTCTTTTCAGGGCTTGGCGCATACTTTGGTTCGCCAGATCGCACACCTCAACAAGCAACAATAGCGACAAAGACGGGTTTCTACCAGCCAAAGTGACGACTGTTGGCTATGACTTGTGACTCATGAGAGCTCGTTGCCAAATTCCGCAGCCGAGCTTGACCTACAGAGGACCTTCTATGACATACGGTCTCTAAGAGCAGCGATGTAGGCGGAACCTTTAACTTTGAGCAAAGGAGGTGTTGGTCCGTGAGATGGTCTGAGGAGAAAGCAGAGAAAGCTTGTAAACCCACTTTTCGATGTCAGCAGCCAGACTGCACGGGGAATAATCAGGGCATGTATAGCTGCGGAATGCATGTAGGCTTTGGAGGAAGTGCCAAATATTCTTTCCTCAATGTTCTCGCCTCGCTGCTTCCAAATACTCTGGTGGATCACCAGCTAATCAGCTGACCATGTCAAACCTTGGAGCTCTGGAAACTTATATCACGCAGAGGTTTAGTTGCAAACTGTCTAAAAATCTCCGTTTGATTCTCAAGAAACCATGAGCTGGCATGCTCCTCAATACTGGCCTAATTTGCCGATAACCTCTCTGTCTCATCACAATTCACCGCTTTGAGATTGAGCGTGCCCAAAAAAAACGAACCAGGGCCATCAATCAACCAGACCGGCCCTAATATTGGCTGCAATGGCTGTTTATAGACTAAAGTAGTCAGGCAGCAGCTCCCTGCTGTCGTGAGGCGATTCGGAGTGATTCGGACTCAGTCGGATCGTGTGATTCTTACTCGCGTCACGCGCGCGTAAAGTGGCGATTTCTCTACTCTAGGCCTAATACTGCAGAGTTCTTGCGGCTTGGCAACTTTCAACACCAGAGCATTATCAACCAATCTTCTGGGGTTAGATCCCCAGGTCCCGGTCGTCCTCCCCATGGCTCAAATGACCGAGGATGACATCTATCGTACATCTACACAATACCGACTATGGTCATTTACTCGGGAATCTCTTGCATCACTTCGCTCTACTACGAATGCATCCGCGGCTGATGGCGTGCGAGCTGCCATCCGAAGCCAGCATGTTGGTCAAGCTGGATCCGACCCAGCAAGAGAAGGAAGCAATGACAAGCCTTCAGATCCTGCAAAAGAGGTGGACTGTCTCACGGTGGAGGAGGAGCAAAAGCTGGTGGGGTTCTACTGCGTCAAGGCGATGCAATTTGCGGACTTCTGCGAATTCCCCACCAATGTGAAGGTAGTCAAAACTCATCTCACCGGCTCTTTTTTCATCAAACATTTGACCAAGACTGCCAGGCTACAGCTGTACAATACCTCAAGCGCTTCTACCTCTCCAATTCCCCCATGACCTACCACCCCAAAGAGATGATGGCAGCCGCGCTCTTCCTATCTACCAAGACCGAGAATCATTACACATCACTCAGAAGCTTCGCTTCTAAGCTTCCGAAGACTACACCAGAAAGTGTTGTCGCGCCTGAGTTCCTCTTGACCCAAGGTCTCCGATTTACCTTCGACGTGCGACATCCACACCGCGGGCTGGAAGGAGGGATCATGGAGCTATTGGGCCTAGCACAAGGCAAGGGGCAGGCTGGTCCAGGGATCAAACAGTCATCGGAACAGCTTCAGAAAGAGATGGTGGACATTGAACCAGCAAAGGAGAGCAGCAAGAAAGCAAGATCCGCGGATGAGGTAGTTCGACGCATACAGGTGGCTCACGGCAAGGCCAAGGAGGTAGGAAAGAGCTCAGCTCTCCTCACAGATGCCTACTTCCTCTACACACCCTCTCAAATCTGGCTATCCTCTCTTTTCCTCGCCGACGAGCCTCTCGCCCGCTTCTACATCAACACCAAGATCCCTACGACATCCACCCTCACGCCAAAGCTAATCTCCACGCTACAATCTTGTGCCGAACTTCTTCGCTCCTCCGCCTCTGCCAACCCAGGAGAAGCTGAGATAAAAGCTCTGACGAGGATAGACAAGAAGCTGTTCAAATGCCGGAATCCGGACAAGGTCGATCTTGTCGGTATCAACAAGGCGCAAAAGAGAGATTCGAAAGGTGCAGGAGAAAATGGATTGGACGAGAGGGTCATTAAGAAGAGGAAGCTGGAGAGGGAGAAGTCGGAAAAAGAGGCGGAGGGTATTTTTGGGCCAACCTTGGCAAAAGAAACCAACTGAGAATGCCTTGATGCACTCGAGAATGATGACGCCTCTTGTTTGGATTACCATCGGCTGCTATGCGGTTGCTTGCATTACCTTCCGTCCTTGAGCTGTCGCGCAAACTTCCCCTTTTGATCTTCTAGCCACGACCACGGAGATCTTCTCCCTTGACGACCCCCTCCAGTTGCCAATGATCAAACCGTTCATATCAGCCTCCAAATCTCAGATGTGTCAAAAGGATGAGTATCGACTGTTGTAGGTATCCGACTGAGCGCAATGTCAATCCGGCTTGAATTTTCCTGCGCCCGAACTGGAATATGTTTCCTAACCAATGGCAGTCGATCCGGATATGCACTGCTTACACCTGACATGCAGCCTTCCACTATGAAGCGTCTATAACAACAACAGCGCCAACTCATGCATCCACATGCAGGGAGGACAGCTGCAACTCATCTTTCCGGGACTGATCGACCGACAGCAAGTCCCGCGAGGCAGTAGCGGCCTTGGAACCCTAATTATCGGGTCCAGATCCATCGTATGCTGGAGTCACCATCCTGTGAGACGTACGAGTCTCTATCAAAGCCTCGGGTTCGACACATGGGGTGTAGACGCATTCTACTTGGCAAGGCTAGAGCAAGGCTACGAGATAGCTATGTAGTTTACGGCGCCTTTCACCTCCAGTCTCGCGTGGATATCCAGGCAGCAGAATTGGAAGAGTCACAATGTGTCAAAGTCTTGATTCGATATGAGTTTTGGATTGGACTAATCAGTGACTCAACAAGGCTGTAGGGCGCTAGTGCAAATCCTTCAGGCAACACTTGCCCACTAAGAGCAAGGCTACTTTATCATTCGAGGGGTCATAAAATTACATATAAACGTGGCACTTCCCCCCTCATCTTGCGACCATTTACATCGGCCACCTGGGATATTTTTAGTCCATCTGAACAACTGTACACCTTCACTGCTTCTGACCTAGACACATTTTCCAGACCCTTCTTTGTTTTATATACATTCACCCAGCACCAAGCACCATGACGCTGCTTGAGTCTTCACCAATTGTGGCAGTGAAAGACGCCGCCACCGGCCTGGTCGATAGGGCGACTAACGGCAATGATGCCTTTCCGGATGCCAAGCCAGGAATGATCACTGATGTGAAAAACCTTTATCAATCCAAGCCTGATAACCGAGGAAAGACAACTTGGGTTGACAAGTACCCTGACGATCTTGAAGAGGCCGCAGAGAACGCGGAGAGTGCACGCTATGCTCTCCTGATCCGCAACAGCAAGTGCTACGATGGTCGAAAGAAGCTGCAGATCGACTCCATCGTCGTTCAGTCTCCTCTTCTCAAGCAAGGTCTCAGCTCAGTCCTCAAAGACTATCCCGGAATCACAACCACTTTGGATCGTTTGACTTTTAAAGCACCCTTCCAGGCATTCATCCACCGCTGGAAGAATTTGCTTGAAGCTTTGGAATCTGAGCAAGACCCAGAGACGAAAGATCATTTGGAACTTCTCCATCGCATCCTTGAGGCCGAGCTCAGAGACGACCTCAAGGCAAGGGATGACTTCATCCTCAACGGCGTCATCACTTACAGCACCATATGGATGATCTTCGAGCCTGGCACCACTATTTTCACTGTGAAAGACGGTCAGAATTGCGCTGCTAAATTCAATAGCGGCAATTATCAGCAGACCCAATGCGGCCATCGCTATGTCCTTGGCTGCCAAGTTGTTGACTGGGACGGCGAGAACTTTGGCCTTGGTAGTGCACCATTCTACGTGTGGGAGTTTGAGGGCACCACCAGAATTACGAAGCTCTCCGCCTACCCTCTGGAGTACCATCCCAACTTGGTCAAGATGAAAGAGGCACTCATTCGAAGAGGTAAAGCATTTGAAGAGCTCAGTGGTTACCATTACAAGAACTATCAGGGGATTGCCATTGGTGAGGGTCCATGGGGCCCTATCAAATACAATGTAGGTCCTTGTCATCAGGCCATTGCTCGTCCCACACGTCATTAATATATTCAAAACAGGTTGACAGCCGCATCATCATAGACACCTATGCATGGAATCGCTTCAATCCCAACAAGCAAGTCAATCTGGCTACCTTGGCGAGGGCTATCGAGAACGCTTGCTCAGTTGATTCCGGCGATTACAGCGAAGACGAGGACGAGAACGAGGTCGAGATATACGATGATGACGAGGATCATGAGTTCGACGAGGATGTCGCTACAGGGGAGAGGAGAAACCCGACCTCGTTGACAGATGATCAACTGCTTATGTGTAGTGCTTCATTGAAAGGTTATTCTCTGAAGAACAAGAAATGGCTGACCTTCTCTATCGGCTCCGTCTTGGACATCGAGTACAGCGAAAGCGCCTTTGAGAGCCTCGTCCTCCCTGAAGATCATAAAGAGCTCATACTCGCTTTAGCCGAGAGCCAGGTCCAGCATAGAGATAGCTTTGATGATGTCATCCAGGGCAAAGGCAAAGGCATGATCATGCTGTTGTCTGGGCCCCCGGGTGTTGGCAAAACGCTGACTGCAGAGTCTGGTGAGTGATGTCCTCGTCTACCCTCTGGGGTTTGTGAATGCACAAGACTGACCTAAGCGCTTCAAGTCGCCGAGACAATGCGCGCACCTCTCTATATGATGAGCGCCGGTGATCTTGGCCTCGACTCGTCCCAGGTTGAGTCTTCACTTTCCAATGTTCTAGAGATGGCCAGCAAATGGAATGCCGTCCTCCTCCTCGACGAAGCCGACGTTTTCCTTGAACAACGCAGCTCACACGACCTGGAGCGAAACAAACTCGTCTCCATCTTCCTTCGAATTCTGGAATACTACGAAGGGATCCTCTTTCTCACCACTAACCGCGTCGACAACATCGATGCCGCCTTCCAATCACGTATCCACATCAGCATGCAGTATGGCGAGCTCAGCACATCCTCACGCCGACACGTTTGGGTTAATTTCCTCAACGCCTCCTCGAAAGGCAAGAAGCACAACTTCAGTGACCAAGACCTGGATAAGTTGGCGGGTTATAAGATGAATGGTCGTGAGATCAAGAACGTGCTGAAGACTGCGCAATTGCTGGCTAGTAAGAAGGGCAAGGGACTGGGCTACGAGCACGTGGAAAGCGTGTTGGCCATTGAACAGAGGCATGTTGGAGATCAAACGCAGCTAAGTGGGAACTGAGAGGTGACTCCGCTACAGGGAGGCCTCAGGGAGTGCTGCACAGCGATAACCAGGGCACGTTCACACTGAAGTACATGCGGAGTTTCCAGTCATAGGACACCGTAGCCATTATAGACAATACGATAGATAACCGAAATGAGCTGATCGTTTGATGTACCGCAATTCGACGCAAAAGAGCAAAATATCAACATTTTAAGAGCTAGAAAAATCGAGACTACATATTTGAGCGGCATATCGGTTTCGTTGCACATTCAATTGGTGAGGCCCAAAAATCTAGGACACAGATGAATTCCCTATGAACTGAAATGCCGAAAGTTATCACGTAGAAGAGCTTTATGATGACACTAATGATGGTAATGATTGTAAATGATACTGTACTGAAACGGAATTCCTCCCAAGTGCGCTCTATTAAACCGAATACCGCACTGTCAACGCCGTCCATTTCCACAATGACAATGAAACCCATCCCTATCCACTCAGACTGAAACGGAAACAACCGACATCAAACATCTCACACGCCCAGAGCGGGCACGACGTAAATCCAAGAGGCGGATATCTGTCGTGTAGGTATCAGTCACAGTACTCTAGCGTGGTCCTCAACGAAAGGTAGCCTACCTTCTCTTCATCTCAATGTCCTCAACCTCTCATCATTGCCGCTGCCACGGCGCTCCTGCCTCGTCGCTCAGCATTGTTCGCTACGGCCTTGGCCTTCTTCTCTGCTGCTTTCCGCTCTCGACTTGCGGCCCGTCGCTGCGCTCGATTTGGGCCCTCCACCTTGGGCTCCTCCTTCTTCGGCGCCGCCTCCTTGGCCTTCTTGCCTTTGGCCTTCTTCTGTTTGGGCATACTCGGAGCCAACGCGTCCTCCTCCGTGCCATGGTTCTCGACGGTGGCATTGTTCGAGATCTCTTCCTTCGGCGCCTTCTCCTCGGCTTGGGCAAGCACAGAGGGAATGTTCTGGGCCAAGGACGTGCCTACGACCGAAGATGCACTGGCCGATCCAAGTATAGTGGCTGTCCCTGGTAGGCTTGAGGATCTCATTCCATTTGCAGTGAATGAGACTCTGCCATTGCTCCCGCCAAAATTGAAGTCCTGCTGAAGGCGTAGAGGGTCACAAGCATTTCTAGGAGCCTGGGCTAGGAGTGTGCTGGAGAAGTTGAATACACCAATTGATGTAGGCTGAGTGGTTGGTTCTTGTGGGGGTAAAGTTTTGTTTTCGTGTCCAATGAAAGGGATTTCGCCACTGCTTCCCCCAAAGTTGAAGTCCTGAAACCGTGGGGCGTTGAAAGCCTCTTTAGGAAGGCTTGGAATGGCATATGCCTCTTTGTGTATGGCTTCGTTGCGTACTCCAAGACCATGGAACACTGAAGAGCCTTCCATCAATGGTATTCTTGGGAGAGGCTTGAAAATAGAGAATCCCACACTCCTCTCTGGCTTGAGAGCTGCAGCTGGCGATGTGATGAGAGGATTCTCATAGTCCAAGAATTCCTGCTCCAGCTTGCCACCGCCGAAACCGCGTTCATGGCTTCCGGAAACAGTAGACTGATTCAAGACTGCAGCGGTATCATGACAGCTGCCTTCGTCCCCACTCTCATCTCTCGATCCGCCGATCTCACCATCGTCGCCTTCGAGTACCGCCCCATCTTCGGCGTCATCGAGGTCGCTTCCAACTTCCATCTCTTCCACCAGACAATCTTCATGCACACCACTCTCCTTGGTGCTTAAGAATGCATTTTCTTCGGACACTTGAGAGAAATTATCTTCTTTGAATCGACCGTCATCTTCTGCTCCCTTCCATCCCACACCTGGCGACACGAGATCAATTGGCTGCGCGCGTGGGCCTTTGAAGACTTCGGTAAACCCTCGAAGATCGTTACCAGCAATTTCCCATTGATCCCGCGCGATACCAGATGTGCCGCCAGTTCGAGCAGGCGTGACTTGGTCGATGTAATCCGCACCGGACGTCAAGAGGGCTCTCAATGTCTTGCTTGGAGTACTTGGCGAGTTTGGGGAACGGCTCATTACTTTCGACACCTTGGAAGACTTGGAACCCTCAGGAATCGGCTTGCTCTTCAACGTGGGACTGCCATTTTCGAAGACCAATCCCCACGGTCCCAGTATCTTGTCCTCGGCCGCAGCAACTTCACGCCGTCTCCTCGCGTCGAAGGTATTGGGCGATTCGGACATGTCTCTCAAGTCAAATTTAGCGGATGTTGAGCTACCGTCGGTTCCTACGCTGGGCATGGTGGATTCGCGATCGTTGGACTCGGACGTGGATACCAATGAGCGAACGTCGCCGACGTGGGTTTCCGGCACAGCGCTCTCACGCTCCTCTTCAACCTCTCCACATCCATTGGCTCCCGTGTTCTCGCAGCTTGTGGCGCTTTCTGTTGCATCTAGGCCAAGGTATTCGTACGCAAGCTGGCAGAGAGCTCTCTGCTCGTTATCCATCGGGTCCACGTCCATATTATTAAGGACGCCCGTCATGAATATGATTCGCTGAAACATTCGAGCTGCCAGTCCTGCCAGGAATTGCTCATGGGCTCTAGCACTCTTCTCAGCATCATCTTCCAGCCGATCTCTCTCATTCCTAATCTGATCGTGTTGAGCCTTCAGCTCAGTGTGATCTGCTTCAAGCTTCTTGAGTCTATTCGCGACATCGATGTGCTCATCCTCGAGATCTTCATACTTCTGCTCGAGCTTCTTGAAGTCTTGTGGCATCTGTCCGTACTGTTGCTGAAGTGCATAGTAGCATTGTTGCAGGCGGATCCAATGCTCCTTATTAGCATACAGAGCAACATCTAATCGTAAAGTCTCGATGCACTGATCGCGGAGCCAGATCTGGGCATCCCGGTTTCTAACCTCGAACCTCAGCTGATCAATCTGGTCGATCAGATTATGTCGCTCCACCAAAACTGAAATCCCCGGGTTTCGATAGAGCCGTAGAGCCGTATTGAAGCTAAGCTCTCGGTTTCTCTCGCAAATGCCCATATCAATTTCGAGCTCCTTTGCTTGCTCTGCTTGGTCAGCGAGTTCTACTCTCAGTTCTTCGACAGTTTCCTCCAGTCGGTGGACCTTATCCGCTTGCTCCTCGTCGATGATCTTCTCAGCCGTGTCTTGCAGCACGTTGCCGAACTCTGAAGTTACTGGAGACGGCGTAGAGGATTGGTCATTCGGATTCCATACCAGTGTCTCGTTTGAAGAGGTCGAGATGTTGCGGCTGTGACTAAGCGGGAAACTCAATAGGCTGTGACGGTTGAGACACTTCCCGGACTCGAAGCCTGCTCAACCAACGTTAGTCAGACTCATGTGTGAAGTGATGGTGTCACACATACCAAAACCCGCAGACAAGTCGGGGCGCCATGATTGGGTGGGTCTGTCAAAGCTTCCTTCAGCTGACGAAGGCTCTGTTCCGACTCCGGAGGACTGTCGAAAGTTTGATAGAGCCTGAGTTGACGTGCTGAAGCTTCCTCCAGTTGATGAGGACTTTGCCTCGACCTCGGAAAGTTTGGGAGACGGTGACACAGCCTCACACAAGAACAGTGGCTGTTCAGGGTTAAACACATTGCCCACAACAACATCACTTGAATGTACTCTGCAGATGGCAGGCACTTCTGCGAAGTTTACCAAAGGATGTGGAGAGATGAACCGAGGAGCGGCTTTCTCGATGGCGCCCTTTGTGACGCCCTTCTTGAGAGACCCTTGCTCTCTGAGAGCGCCATTATCCGAAACAGTCACATCTTGGGCTTTCGTGGGGACTGTGGAGGAAGTGGCTTGGGCAAGCTGCTGCGTGGTCTTCGTGTCAAACCAACATTAGCATAGAGAAAACATGTTATCATCAGAGTTGCTTACATATCTTGGTCTTCCAGATAGGTATCTAGAGAGATTTGGAAAAAGCCCTATAAAAAGATAGGTGGCAGGGTTCTTCGCCCTATTGCCACGAAAGAGGAACGACATGACGTGCTAATCAGTGAACAACTAGGATGAGCTTGTGGATATCGATGTCGACAACACCAGCAACTACTACTTCCTGCAAGACAACGACGGCTTGTGGACGTTACGAAGCTGCTTCGATGTGTCAGAGGTGTGTGAAAAGAAAATGGTGAAGGAAGATCAGCATTAATGCTATCGATGATCGAAAGGTTTGCTGATGCTATGCAAAGCAGAGTAGGAGGTCGAAGAGTCTTGGTGTGGTGGAAGATGGAAGAAGGAGAAAGATGAAGGAAAGGAGTTCCCTTATATACTTAAGTAGCTATCACACCCATAGTTGTGTCGTTGCTCATTGACACAGGCTGGAACTAAAACATGATTCAACACACATTCAGAGAAAGCCAAAAGAAGTAAGTGCAAGAGGAATGCCAAGAAATCTACCACCAGGACCTCCGCAGCCATCGTAAGAGACCTATATAAGTTGGCGGACAGCATGGTAGTGCGCCAGAGCGAGAGCGAGATCTTTCTCGCCCCTGTCCTGGAGTCCGGGATTTTCCCTTGAGGGTATCGTCAACACAGCGAAACCCTTAACCTATCATCTGTCCCACGCGTCCCGGTTGGGTGTGATCGCCAACACTAAGGTGGCAAGAGGGTTCCAATATCTCTCTCATGACTCTTCTAAACTGGTTGTTGACGCGCTAGCGCAGTCCTTGGTTCCATAGAATCAAATTCACTTTGTGACATTCTCCACCAGTGCAGTCTATCTACCATCAATAGCACTGCTGCCTATCGGTATTCTTCATCAATCTCATCAACCCTTATCTCCTGCAATCTATTCAACAGTAACCACATCATCGTCAACGTCGCCTTGCAATATGGAATTTGCTGGTATTGTCGGTATGGGAAACAGCCAAAATGGGTTTCGACCAGATCTTCTCAAGCACATCTGAGTGAAGGGTCAGGAGGTATGTGATAACCATGCCGTCATCCTATCCTGTCACTAAGACTGACTGTGATTCAAGGGCTCCGAACAACAGCCAGAGAGGATCACCTTCTGGGTCTTCAACCAGTCGCAGGATATCGTGGTGGCAGGTGCAGCATCTGCAGAACGACTTGGACAGCCCGTAGAGACGGCTCCGGAGAATATTGCCCCGGAAGTCTCAATGGTAAAGCAGACTGCCATTACAGAGTTCTGTTCTCCATGTCCGTCAACGGCTTTGGCGGACGGAACTTTCATAACACCGTGTCCTTCGGTGACACTGGCGGAAATATCTGCGATGTTTGCGAGACAAGAAAATTGTGTGGATGGGGCCTACGCTTTCGATCAAGCACATCCCCTATTCAAGGGCTGGAAAGTTTCCCCAGTGCCGCCGCCCGCTGAGCCTGGGGCTCTGGCCATTGGTCGTAATTGTTCGGTTTCGGTTTCACCGCACGATGAGACATTGCTTGAGAGCACTTCGGAGTCGTCATCGCCCGCCTCACCGAGATCTACCGAAGAAGAAGTGGCGTCTACCAGTTCCTCGTAGTCATCTGAACTTGCTGCTACTGAGCTTATCGGTATCTATCCGGTCGGAGACGTGAAGACAGATGACACCGAGCATGATATTGAGAAGGTAGATATCGCTAGAGATGAGGAGCGATTGGTGGCCATCGCTGATGCAGAAGTGGACCATGAATCAGAGATGGAAAACATGAGGCTGGCCTATGAGCAAGCAACGAAGGGAATGGAGGAGATACTTAATCAAAAAGAGGAAGTGATCAAGTCTGTAACGCAGTATGCAGAGAGAGTCGGAGCGAACCTGGCAACGGTCCTTGCAAAGCATACAGATGCAGGGGCAGTCTACCACTTGAAAAAGCGGAAGGACAATCTGCTGGAGCAACTGGAAATCCAGCCGCGGTAAGACTTCGGACCTGACTCGTACCGTACAAAATGCCAAAGAAGAGCTGGCCACAGCTGTGATTATCAGAGATGATACGCGGGCGGCGTTAGCAGCAGCGAAAGCGGAGGCAACGGCAGCAAATGCCGCGGCAGCGAAAGCGGAGGAACTTACTTTGACAGCATCACGCATGACAGACAAAGTGGTGAAGGAACTCAAATCTAGCAACGACAGAATTGACGCACTTCTCGTTGGGAAATAGGTGGAAGTGATCAAGGGGCAAAATCGTCTCATTACTCTTTTTCGTGCTGACAACGAGGACTCTGAGCAGCAACTCCGTGCTTCATCGTTGGAAAACATGAGTCTAAAAGGGGAGGCAAAGGCTGCAGAAGACGGTATTGCAGGATATCGGCAACTCCTATCGAGGTACAAGAGAGAGGTACAGTCTTGCAACGCGAAGATTCTGGAGGTCGAGAAGGCTTTGCAGACTGGCACAGGACTAGTCCCGCTAGCCGTCCTACTCCGAGACAGAGAGAAAACTATCGCTGAGCTGACCCCTCATCTCACCATCCGTGTCGAGGAGGTCGCCCACTTGCATCAAATGGAGAGCAAATATGAAAACCACGTCGTAGAGATGGGGACAGATTTGCAGTGCATGTACGATGCTAACGATAGCCTTGAGCAGGAAGTCAGAAAAATGAAGAAAGAAGTGAAGCGCGTTATACGTGCTAACGATAGCCTCCAGCAAAAGGTCACACTGTTCGAGAGCAAGACCCTGCTCATGTCGCGCTATAATGTCGTCTGCAACAAGCATGCGATTCTCAATATTCTGAAGACAGAGAAGGTCATGGTGGTAACAAGGTCGATGGAGGCGGTGCCAACGGCCGGAGCCACGAAAATCCTGGGGCCAGCAGCGAGCACGAGAGGCTTGATGTTGAAAACATGCCTGGCGATAGTTGCAAAGACAACAACGGGGGGAGCCAAAACTATGATGACGCTAGCATGACGACTGACAGTAACGACGTGATATCCAGGCAGACATCCACGTCCAAGTCTGGCTCCGGCAAACACTGTGTGTAGACTGCTCCATCTTCAGTTGCCGAGGAAGTCAAAAATATCAGTCATTGTAGCAGCAGACGTGGAGAGCAGTTATGCCGCCGATATTGAGAAAGAGCCCAATCAAGTTAGTAGGGTCGACCGCTTTGAAGCCGAGCCATTCAAGATTTTGAAGCCAGCGGGACCAACGAACCCTTCGATTGCAGGGAAACGAAGTACTCAAGACATCTAGAAAGGTACTTCGTTCACCGCTGCCGGGAATAAGCCATCTTGTTTCCAGCCAGCGCCAGCCGCAGACCTTGAGGCAAAGTCCAAGGAGAAGTCTCCAGTCGTAACACTGCACCCAGCAGAAGTAAAGAGGAAACAGTGTCCCAGTCTCTTTCACTGGTTCATTGCCGTTCTTCCCAGCACAAGTCTCTCAGCCTACGTCGACGGGTATATTTTCGTTTGAGCGAAAGAGTCCTCCATTGGTGACCATCCAACCGAAAGAGAAGACAGCTGAAGATGGCGTACCGAAGGATGAGAATCCTGAGGAGAACATGCCGAAGGAGAAGGTGCCTGAGGAAGGGGCGCCTAGGGAAGAGACGCGCGAGATTGATGCGCCTGAGGATGAGTCACCTCGAGAGAAAAACCTCAGAGAAAAGAAGCTGAAGAAGAAGATATTGAAAGAGGGAAGCGCTCGCAAGGAGGAGACGCCCAAGGAGGCGCCGGCCGCATCCGAGCCCAGCCGGAGCCAAAAACGAGCTGTCAAGAAACAGCAGCAGAAAGGTGTTAAAAAAGCAGAGAGAGAAGCCCACAGTGCGAATGCACAAGTGAGTAGACGCGTTCAGCAGGCTATGATGATGAGGTAAAGAAGGGAAGAAAGAAGTGGGACAAAGAGACAGGTTGGAAATTGGATTTGTTCTGGAAAGGACAGCGCTAGTTATTTTCGCGACGGGGTTTGTCGATGTTTGATGTTCTAGGGGCAGCGTCGAGATATTTTAGTTTTGGCTCGCTCGAAGCATTACGTCCTGTGCAAGAGAGGACTTTCAATCATAGTATCTCTTGTAGAGTTTAATCGTTTCTACGTCTTGTTCGGTCTTTCAAGCTTGAAGAGTACTCATGGATTCCAGAAGTGAGTTACTTGATATTGCGAGGACACCAATAGATATTTCCACTCAGCGGCACGTCGCTTGATCTATTGGCGTTCTCGCTCTATCAAGTAACTCACTTCTGGAATCCAAGAGTAGAAAAGAAATTTCCATCAACTTACGAAGACCCTGGTTTGTTTCCTGATATCACCATAGTAAGAGAGACAAATGGCCAGTATATCTATAGCTTATAACATTTGTCTAAGGAACAGATACTGGTGGAGGTAAAAAAAAAAAACTCATCCCAAATAATACTCACAAAAACTTGTGCCAAAATTGAAACGAAGAAGTGTCCAGGGTCAATTCCCCCTCTCAACAATTTGCTTCCCTGCAGAGCTTTTAAACCTTCGACTTCCATCTTTGCGAGGGGCCGCCTTAATCCTCAAAATCCTCACCTGCCTCATCCACCCCCTTCTGCATCATTATTGCTCGATCCTCTGATTTCCTAGAAGTTGGTGCAATCAATATCGTCAAGAAACAGTGATCGCATCAGGAACCTCATCAAATATATAAAGAAAAATGAAGTATACGGCGTGACGGCGATGCTGCTTTGAAAGGATTATCTTCCTCAATCTGAGCGATACATTATATTTATTGTAGAGAAGATATATCCATCGGTGACTGCACAGAATACTATGGTCACATCTAACCCAAGCCGTTACTATCCTGCATTATTCCGCTGCAGTGATTGCGTCTTTGAACAGGCGCTGAAAACGCATCGCTGGGGTATCTCGTACACAAACTGTGCAAAATGATCCAACCTCATTGTTCTTATCATCTCTCACGATTCGCAAGAGCTCTGAGACCACTGTCTTGATCACAGAGCGTCCATCACATTCTCCCAGTCCTTTAGAAAAAACCGTAATCGGACTTAGGCGTATCCGCACAGGCTTCGAGCTCTTCTGCTGGCTGAATGTCCCTTCCATGCCCGCCTTCCTCCATCGCGCGGCCTTGGGCAATCTCCGCATTCTTTCGCTCAAGGACCTGATCTTGGATATCGCGCAGACCCTGAGGCATCTGTTGCCCCTCCTGTCGATTCGTTTGCTCCGCGAGCTGGAAGTCGAGCTCGGCCCTGAGAACGTCTTTATCAACCTGCAACATGAGGACCTGGCTCTTGAGGTCCTGGAAACCGTCATCGCCCTTGGGCGCACCGAGCTCAAGTTTCGCAATCTTGACCTTCAATTCGACGGCTTCTTCCATCATATTACGACGCTGTCGCTTGTAGCCGCTGAGCTCGCCCTCAAGACCCCCCTTCTCTTTCGCCAAAGACTCGTAGTGGGCCCAGAACGCCGTATCGAAATCACTCTTTCCGAACGTTCCCTTGAGATTCTGGAGCAAGGTTTTGTTCTGCTCCCAAGCAATTTCTTTATCCTTCACAGCCAATTGTCGCTCCAGCTTTTCCCTCTCCATATCCGCAGTGACGATGTCGATCTGGCCGCACAGGCGCTGTACTTCAAACCTCTCCCGCTCTGCGGCTTCGTATGATTGTGTGAGACGGTTTCTGAGGTCTTCGATGACTTCCTTATGAAGCATGGTGTCCGCGTAGGTGTCCGCCTTTGCTGCATCTTCTTCCAACAACGCGCGTAAACTGTCGGTCTTCCCAATGAGGTATGTTACGTCCTCGTGGCGCCGTTCTAGGTCTGCGTGGAGTTGGACGTTTTCGTTTTCCACTAACCGCAGTCGTGAGTAGAGGGGATTGGGAGTTATTGGCATTTGAGTCTTCTGACCCTGCGGATCTGGTTGAAGACTGCCGCAGTCTGTGGCTGGAGTTTCTATGTTGTTAGCCGAATCTGCCCCAACGTTGATTGCGGGTAGGAAATCCTGATCCGCAATTTCATTATTAACTTCCACTTCCTCACGGCGGTTGTTGAGGCATTGGTCGCTCTGCGAAGGCTCCAAGGCCTCGATATCTTGAGATGGCGATCGGCCCGTCATGGCGGCAAAGGCCTTGTGCAAGGCGTCTCTCTGGCCAGTCATGTGCACCAGTCTTTTCTCCGTCGTCATCTTCTCGGCTTCCATTTCGATCAAATCCTCCTTCAATTTCTTCACTTCCTTCGCTCCTTGAACACGTCTCAATTCCAGTCTCCGAGCCTCGGCACCATACTCTTTGGTGAGCTGTTGAAGAGCTTCAGCGTTCTTTGTAGTAAGCTCCTCAAGGATTTCATTGTGTTTTTCCTCGAGTTCCTTCATCTCGTACTCCTGATCTTCTTCCAAGTCTTTGGTCGCGTTGGTATGGTTGGACTCCTTGAACTGATCAAATGCTTCTAACTCGTTGTCTTTCGCTGCCTCCGCTTGGGCTACAGCCTTCTCCAAGCGGTCTGCCCACTCTTCATCCTTCGCCGCCTTAGCTTCGACAACAGCTCTTGCTAGACGTTCTGCCCATTCCATGTTTTGGACAGCCTTGATTTCCTTCATGGCACCTGCCACACCATCTTGCCATGCATCTAAGACTTGGTATGGACCGATACGGTCAGAGTCTGGTGGATCAATGGGGGCAGATGCCCTTGAACCTTGACTAGCATCCGCTTCTCCCTCGCGCTTCGTGATTTTAGTGACTGGGAAGTCTGAAGGTAACGGTGGTGGTGTAGCGGGCGTAGACGGTGAGGGATTGACCAAAGTGCTGTCGGAGCCAGAACGGGATTGTCGGATTGTAATAATCGCTGGGGCACTACACCGCTGCCTCAGCTTTTGAGGGCTCGGCACTGTTCTATTTAGCCTAGGGGACATGTCAAAGTATAGTGATCACTTACCTAGGGATATGGATGGCTCCGAATTGGGTGATCTATCCGCGGCAAGCGGGTCATCAGCAACACATGGAGACCTAGAACGAGAGCCTGGGTAGGTGCGGGATTCCTGACCATCGATCCGAACGGGAGCCGCGTCTGCGTGTGTTGCTCCCGCGTTATCTTGATTACTCGTTGACTCCACAGGCTGTCCTTGGTCTTGAGTGACTCCGAGTGGTTCTCCTACTACAGGAGTGTCTCGTTGAACAGTTGAAGGGTGCTCTTGAGACTCGACCGAAGCCCCACATCGCTGATCGATAGGTACGGCTATCGAAGCAGTCTGGGAGGTGGGTAATGTCCCCAAAGCAGCGTTTTGCTTGGCTGGAAGCACCTCGCCCGCCCTGTTTGATGGGTGGTTGTGCTGTTTATTTCCTAACTTGGCCCCCATCGTGCCCCGATCGGAATCTGTGGGCCAATTGACGACGGCCTTTTGGTCATCTTCGGCAATGGCAATCTAGATATATTAGCAAGACAAATTACAATCAATGGTGGCTACCTCCCGCATACCTTTGCCGCTTTTCGAGATATATTTATCAGGTACCCTGGCTGATTCTCGCTCATCTATGACTGTCAGCAGGAGGGTCACCTTTGCATCCAATCGAGTGTACGATTTACCTTCTTCTCTTTGTATGACGCCTCTCTTGCATTCTTCAGATATTTCTGGAGCGCCTGCGCACTTTTCGTATAGAACGTTGCTGGAGTGCCCACATCTCTAAACAGAGTTGGCGTAGATATAGTTGATTTCTTGCTCATTGTTGCTGGGCAGCTCGCCGAAGTTCTCGGCTCCAGGGACTTAGCCATGCTGGCTTTCGATAAGGGATGCATGTGTGGCAGGCTGGGGCAGGAAATGCGGCTAGTACGTATAAGATCGACAACACCAGGAGTAGAAGAAATGTGGAGCTCTATAGATCTTAGTGGAGTCTCAAGACAAAAGATGCAGGTAGTTTCAGAGTATCACCAATAGCTATTGGCCCGGACTGATGGTTTTGGGATTAGAAATTGACTTTACAAGAGGGAACCATGAAAGATGCTAGGAAAAAAGAGAAGAAGATTGGACCGCGAACGGCGAGGGCACTCCCTGCTTCAACACCTACCTCGTAGTGTTGAAGCAATACAAAGGCCAGACCCCGCCCTGGGGCGAATCCGAAGGGCTGAAGGGCTGAAGCCCGGGATGATCAGCCAATGAGCTCTGATCACCAATCGGAGTCTAAAAGACCTAATCTGATAGGACAGTAACTTGTTTATGTATATAAGATCGATAGAGAAATGGCAAGAAAGATGCAAGGGGCGGCGGAATAGAAAGAGTAAAGCGATAAGTGAAATACGGTTGTTTCTCCCCACGGATCTGTCTAGGAGAAGTCTCTACAAGTAATACCTTCGTTCTATGCAGTTGGAAATGAAAAGGAAAACTGCCATGTCACCAGCCACGTCACCAGCCACGGCGGATTGGCCTTAATGGTTTGCTGTGAAGCTCCTTGAGGTCGGTAGTCGGGTAAGTCGGATAGTGACTCTCCCTAAGACCCATTCGAGTTCCGGCTATACTAGATTCCACATTCACAACCATGGAGGAGCACATGCTAACAGCCGTGGTCCTCGTCTCGGCGCGGATGATTTAGTGAGCGGTAGACTTTCATCAGGATGCCTCGCCCTACAATATGGTATTGAATTTCCAGCTCTGCACGGCTGTCTCAAGCTGAGGTTGTAGGCTCTTCTTTCGCCTCTCGTGTCAGGATTATTCTGTGAAGTGACGATGTATTTTCGATCTCTAATACTTAGAAGTACGCCAAATCTCACACGGCAGATGAAACTAGGCATGCTTCCCAGTCGGTGTTTGTACCGGAGGCTCAACGTTCTCGCGATGGGTGATTGCATGTTCGGGGATGGAAACATCTACACGGTATTAGCGTATGCAGAAAACGGTACAATCCTTGGCACTGAGAATTGCCACACCCCACCAAGAATAGTAGTGAATAACTGCATCTTCTCCCTCGCAACCTTTTCAACACTCGTAATAAGTGAAATTCCTGTATACCTCGCTTAGCAATTTCTTGGTGTTTCTTCTTATTGATTCCACATAACTCCCAATCGACGCAGTCAGGGGTCCCCTCCCCCACTATCGACCTCGCCTCGGACCAGACAATTCAAGAGATCTAAAAAGGCGTCCTCCCATACTCAAGCGATTGCTAAGAGTAGCTAGTCAGGCCTTAACCTCAGTCAACCAAGCGCAGCTACTTCCGATACCAGACCTGAAGCCCCCGGTGCCAAAGCCGCCCGTAAGCGTACGGCCCTTATGGAGTTATAGACTCGCAAGGCCATAGTAGCAGATAGAGCGAGATATATAGAAGTATCACATGCGACGAAGAAAGCAGTGGATTTCAGGTATGTGGGAAGATTCAACTATTCACTACTATTCTTGGTGGGATGTGTGGGAATTCTCAGTGCCAAGGATTGTAACGTTTCGAATTCCGTGGCTTTTTGGCTGCGTGGCGCAAGCGAACTATTCTAGTCCACCATGCCGGAGGACCGAGGAGGACCGAAGACTACATTGAGAGTACTCTCTACCCCGCCGATTTCATCATGATAAAGAATCATTTTATCACACTCTCGTCCTCTGCCTCCTCTGCTTTTCAAGCGTGCACTGACAAGTTGTGAGCCTTGGATTAGGTACGCCCCCATACCTCTGACATCCTCATGGTAGACGATTATATGGGCCTGCTCGTTGTTCCTTCCCGCTTATGCTTCGGCTTCGTCATTCTAGCGTTCCTCGGCTCATACCAACTGCACGCAAGCAGCCGACGACCGTTGTGAAACAGCTTCTCACGAGAGAAGCTCCTGTGCCTCATCAATGTTCAGTCAGGCTCAGTTACGCCGTAGCATGTTGGTTAGCTCTAACCCAAGAACGGGCAACGCTCCGCCCTCAAGTTTCCGCCGCGCCTTTCTGTGAGAAGTCAAATCACAAAAAAAAATCTGTGTGAGCTGGTTCCTATGGACTTCAACCTCCTGTGACGGTTCTTCTATTTCACCTTACCGCTCAATCTCTCTCGAGCACCATCATGACTCCCTTCTTGAGAATCCCTTTGTTCTTCTTCGTAGCATGCTATACTCTGGTTCAAGCAGGCTACTTCGCCTACAAGCAAATCACTACTGGGATCACCCGCCGTCGGATCATCAAGGAGCATGGTTGCGAACCGCCGAAATCTCTCGATGACCAGTCCTGGTTACCCTACGTGTACAGGCTTAAGATGGTAAGGATGATCAGGAGCGCCGCGAAAGAGCATAGACTTGAAAAGGCCAGCCAGGAAAGATACCGAGAATACGGCAATACACATATCGGAAAGGTGAGCCTTCATCCAAAGTACAATTGAATGCAATATTGACTGTCAAAGTTTTTTCACTTGACCGTTGTTTTTACCGTCGAGGCAGAGAATGTCAAGACCGTCTTGGCCACAAATTTCAAGGATTACGAGTTACCTGCTCCAAGAAAGAGGGCCTTCTATCCACTGCTTGGCTTCGGGATTTTCACTAATGACGGCGCTGACTGGAAACACTCCCGAGAGCTCATAAGGCCTAATTTTTCCCGAGATCAAGTCGCGGATTTAGATAATTTCGAGGAACACTTGAGCATTATGATCGATGCCATCCCGAAGGACGGAAAGACGACCGTTGACCTTCAAGACCTTTTCTTTGGTCTCACCATCGATACGGCAAGCGAATTTCTATTTGGCGAGTCTACCGATGTGCTGTTAGGAAGAGACTCCCCAGAATCGAGAGCCAATCTCGACTTTGCTGAAGCATGGCATCGATCGCAACTCGAAGTGCAGAATCACATCCGATCAAGCTTCTTTTATCGCGCGCCAAAACAATCCAAAAAGGACATTAAGATCGTGAACGATTATGTAGGAAAGTATGTGCAGCAGGGCCTCCGGTACCGAAAAGACTTCATTCGTGATCCGGAAAGGTCAACCTCGAAGAACGGCCGGTATGTCTTCATGCATGAACTCGTCAAGGCCATTGACGATCCAGTGCGCATTCGAGACGAGATGTTGAATGTGCTTTTGGCTGGCCGGGATACTACTGCCAGTCTCTTGGGCAATATGTGGTTCACTCTCGCAAGACGACCTGACATTTGGGATAAGCTTCGGAGGGAAATAGATGAGACACTGCATGGGAAACGACCAAGCTTCGAGCAGCTCAAAGAGATGAAGTACCTGAAGGCAGTAATAAACGAATGTAAGCAAACTCCGTCCACTAACTGTGCCTGGCCATATAGCTAAACCCTGACAGCTCTCCGCCTTGACCCCGTCATCCCCTTCAACAGCCGCGAGGCTATAACCGACACCATCCTCCCGGTTGGCGGCGGCCCCCAGGGCAAGTCTCCCATCCTAGTCCGCAAAGGCCAACTCGTGAATTACACAGTCTGGGCTATGCATCGCCGTCCCGAATACTTCGGCTCGGACGCTGAAGAGTTCAAGCCGGAGAGGTGGGAACATATACGGCCTACGTGGGAATACTTACCGTTCAACGGCGGGCCGAGAGTGTGCATTGGGCAGCAGTATGCGCTTACGGAAGCAGGGTATACGACAGTCAGGTTGATGCAAAGATTTGCGAAAGTGGAAAGTAGGGATGACAGGCCGTGGACGGAGAGCATCGCCCTCACGGCCTGTAACTTGCATGGGACCAAGGTTGTACTAACGCCGACCTAAAGAAGCTTGGTACCCTTGAAAAGGAACACAGTTTTGGACTGGTGGAGAGAAGGAGGTAAGCTCTTTTTTAATTTGGTTTACGCGTCTTTCATTATTCTACAAAGACAAGTGACAAACCTCAGGGCTCCTTTCTTGTCGTTTTTGCACAACCTTGTGGTAAAGAAACACACTGAGTTCGCTGTTCGACTTATTCATGTAGGAAACACAGTCGATGAGAAAAAGGACAAGCGGACTTGTACCACCGAATTGAGTCCAGAACGTTAACACAGACGGAGGTCACAGCCGTCCAATCGAGCCTAGGTTTCTTGCAAGTAATTGCGTAACCCATACGAATTACTGTGCCGCTGTCCGTGCATCGTAAGTACAAGAAGGTGCTCGAAACGAACATCGTCTTCTCCGACAACGCTACCTCCAGAACGAGACATCTCAAATACAAAGACATCTACTTTCTAATCTTTTTGAACGTTTAGGCACATTATCCTTATATAAATACATAAGACATTTTGACAAGCGCTTTCCTTATTGTCTCTTGGAAAATTGATGCTTCAGCGCCGCTATGTCGACCACTAGCGGCTCCTCAGCACACTCGGCCATTTTGGGTAATGTAATACCTTGAAGCTGTGTTGTTGAGGTCATATGACTCAAGTATGTCGGCTACGCTAGTACTCTGTGTCGTTGCCAATATATATATAAAGCCCACCTTCAAACATCTTCCTTTTTCCTCACACCACCCGTCATCACCCTCGATACCAAACTTCGAGCCTTCTGGACGCTCAAGGCCTCCACTGTACTTACCCCAGACTATCACAGAGTAGTCTTTCAAGCTGGAGCTCAAGTCCTTGCCTACTTTGCAAGTCTTTGGTGCTAAGTTGCGTTGCTTGTCTCCGTCACATTCAACCCCCTATCCTGACTTGCTTCGGGCTCATCGACCCCTCTCAGCACTAAAAATGGCTAAAATGTTCAAGAACACACACTCAAAGATCCAACAGGAGACTCCCAAGGCCAACATGTTGAAGAGGTTTGGTGGAAAATTCAGAAAGGCGTTCTCCAAGAAGAAGCAGGTATGCCTATAGTCCCAAACCTTTTACCTGAGAAGTCTTGTGCCGAGCTAATGGTGTACCCCAGCCTGCGGCCCAAATGGCGTGTGAAGCCCATGTTCAGGATGTCCAGCCTGAAACAAAAGCACTGCCGAACCTCTCTGCAGAGGAGACTGAGACTGAATTGCCATCTACAGAGAATAGGCCAGATTTTGCTCCAACACAATTTAGTGTTGATGAAGAACTGCAACTTTCAGACAACACCTCTCAGCAGCTCGCAGCAGCTGGGGCACGGGACCGTGCTGTCAACTCTCTTAGACCGGTGTCCCAAAAGGCCCAAAAAGAGGCCCCATTACAGAGTCCTGTGGGAGTTGCGACTTCGACTTCACAGGAGTCAACGCCTTCTTCAAGCTCCGGAAACTCAACACCAACCTCCATGGACGGGCTCAACACCGGTAGGCTTTCCCGACCATGGCTCAATACACAGCCAACTTTGGCACACACAGACCGCAACACCCTTCGTCGGTCTAATAGTGTACCACCTTCGTCCTCGTCGCCCGCTACGGGAGCCTCGAGTGATACCCTTTACAATACGCCCCGCCACTCAGACACATCCCCACTCCCTTCCCTAATCAAGTTCCGTCAAGCTGTGGATGAGCATAGAGGGTCGAGCGGAAAGTGCCAGAAGGCACTTGCCGAATATCTAAACAGCGGAGAAACGGAAAAGGGGAACACGGAATGGGCGGCTCTTGTGGAGTGGATAAAAATGGGCCATCAAGCCGAGGTCAACAACCTTGAGACAGAACACGCTGCAAAGGTTGAGAGACTACACCAAGAGCGTAGCGAGGCACGTCGACGTTTGGAGCTGCGAAACCGTGAGCTCAGAGCCATGAAGCGGGAAATGAAGGATCTCAAGGTGTCTCTTGAGGAGACGAACAAGATTCAAAAAGAGATCCACCCAGCCCTCAACCCTGAATCAGCTGATGCTTCTGATGCAGAGAGCGTGGACGAGGATGAAGGTGGCGTTGATCTGTCTACCAACAATGTTGCACCAACCAACGCGGCGGAAGACTCTCGTGGAATGGATGTCGGCGGAATGAAAGACGCAGACCGCGGTCGCAACTATACCAAGGACGACAAACAGGAAACCAAGGAGCCCAGAAACGAGACAGCGAAAGACAATAGAGAACACCAGAGAGCGCTGAAGCAGCAACTGCTGGAAGACTCAGCACCTGAATTCACAGAGTCGCAGACGGGCGCGCAAGCCGTGCAGCCAGCAGCTATTGGGGAATTCGAAACCAGCAACACGCAGCAAGCCACGATCACTTTTGATGGTGACAACCAAGGAATATTGATAGAAGTCAAGGAGCTCCAGGACTACAACAGAGCCCTAAAAGCTAATTTGGCTTTCACGCGGGAAGTGGTTGGACACCTGACCATGGAAGCAGAATCGGCGAAGGGAGAGATCAACAAGTTGAGAGGCGAAAATCACTTCGCCCAGCTCGAAGTGGGCCACTGCAACGCGGCCAACGCGTATTACCGTGCTGCAGCCGAGGATGATAATCCAGCTCGCACGGCACATATTGATGGTCTGTTGAAGCGAAAAGATGAAGCGCACGCCGAGCTTGAGAGGCGTGCTGCAGAATGTGCTCAGGAGCTCGCGGAGGAGAAAATGGAGAGAGCTGTTGACGACGTCTACTCGGCTAGACATATTCAAGGCTTGAAAAAAGAGTTGGCCCACCGCCTCAACATGATCAGAGCTTTGACTGAAGGCAGAGCTATTCTGAAGCAACAGAATGATGACATTCTTCGAATGTTCAAGGGCAAGATTTTCCAAAACGATACCGTCAAGGCTTTCCTCCACGACAACGACACCATGCAGAAAGACAACGCGCTGCTGATCAAAATGATCAACGAGCGCCAGTGCTACGTCCTAGAGGCCGAGAAGGGAATCGCCGACCTGAAAGCCGAGAAGATCATGGACGAGCGCGCCGCACAGGCCGACAGACTGAAGCAACGCCAACTGCAACAGAGCCTGAACGGCCTCACATACATCAACCACCACCTCAACACCAAAGTCGAAATCCGCGAAGAGATGCACGAGGAGCTGAAAGAAGAACTCGAACGCCAATTATCGCAGCAAGCGGACGAGATCCAGCGCCTCCTCGCCCACGGCGCCGACGCCGAACTCACGCGACGCCTCCACAGCCAGAGCGGCCAGATCGCCTTCCTCGACGCCGAACTGACGCAGGCGCACAGCCTCGCGCAGCAGTGGCGACTGCGGGCCGTGGAGCTGCGCGGCGATTTTTGCCCGCTGTACAACGGCGACGAAGTGGGCGACTGGGACGCGGAGGAGACGCGGTGGCGTCTGGTCCATGCGGAGCGGCAGAACGCGGACTTGCAGCGGGCGCTGAGGCGGTTGGAGCGGGAGGGGAGGGGTGCGAGGGTTCTGGAGCGCGGGCACGATGGGTCGAAGTGGCTCGGGGATAGGGCGGAGGCTAGGAGGGAGATGGAGAGGGCGAGTGGGATGGAGTGATGCGTGGGGGCGGGGTAGGACTTTGGAGTCTACAGGCGTGTCCATTGACTACAGTACCAATAGCTGATTTTCGGAGCTGTATGAGCATTGCATGGTATGTCTCCTTCTCGATAACAGGAATAGTCTCATCTTCTCGTACAAATTGCTCGTCAATGTGGATAGCGACGCTGCTGAGGACGTCTGCGGAGAGATAGATCGAACAGCCGATGCATTTTGGCTCCCACCCACAAGAGGTTGAGCGTTTGGGTGATCGAAGGAGAAGAAAAGGGCAATTGGAGCGGTACACGTCCTTAGCATATTCACAAAGTCAATATCAACAAGGAACATTCTCGTCGTTGAAGGTTCATACATGAAGTAAATTTAATCGTAAACGGGGTCGTTTCAAGAACGGTAACTCGATTTGACGCCACAATAGCGAATCAACATTAGGGATTGCAACTGTGACAAAGTCTGATTGGTCCAGTGAGACTTAGCGTAGAAGCATTTATCGTTTCCCAAGGTGCAGAGTGAGCGTATGTGAGCCTCGGTACAAGCCATTCCACACTTCATTGATACTTGATCTCTGGGGATGGGTAAGACTCAAAGGCCTTGAGTCTTCTTTGTGGGTTCTAGCGGTGTCCAGCGCCATAGTAACGATGTTGGATGAGGCATTCGTAGGGATTGAGCTTGGCCAGCCGACAACACTTCCAGCTATTCCCGGGTTCCATAATGTGGAGATAGAGATTGTTTCAAGCATCAGACCGATTATGTTTCATGATACAGCAATATCGCGTGGGCGACAGAACGAGAGACCTTGCACGTCGTAAGAAGCAAATCTGTAAGGCTGAATGCAAGATGACGTATCTCAGTAGCCAATCATCACGCGCGTCTAAAAATCCAGGTTTTGGTAGCCAATAAACACTAAGTATGGGCAGCGACTTCGCCGCTCGTGGCGGCAATAACACCCCTGCGCTCTAGGCTTTCAAGTTTCATTCACGTCCGGCTTTCTTCAACCCTTCAACCCTTCTTCAAGAGAATAGTCTCTTAAGTCCACTGCCTCTCTCCGCTCTTCAGGCTAGAACAACCTGTATCTTGCTCAAACGTCACTCAAAATCTACTACATTGCCCTCATCCACGACCATGGCAGAAGCAATCAGCGGCATCGCTGGTGGCCTTCAAGGCTCAGTTGGTGGCATGCTGAACCAGGGTTCGGCATGGTTGGACAGCATATTCCCACCAGAGAAGCGGAACGAGCTCATGGCCAGAATATCCAAGTTTGCGACTGAGAAGCCCATGCTGGCTGTAAGGATCCCTTCGTTCTAGTTACTATTACCCTGTCGTGACTACAGATGCTGACGGGCCTGTAGTCATTCATAGCATCCCAGATCGCCCTCACCGGCTTTCCTCTCGGCCTCTTCATCGTCATGACCATCACCGTCGTCGTCTTCGCCTTGCTCGCAGGCTTGATCATTGGTCTTGTTGGCGCCGTCCTCTTCATCGTCGTCTGTGTCGGCTTCGCCCTCATCATACTCCTACCTACTTTGTTCCTCACCACGGCAGGAGCGACGTTCATCTGGTTATGGGGCATGGGCGGGTATTATATTCTCAAGAAATTCAACAAAAAAGAGATCCCGGGCATCCATACCGATATGAAAGGGGGACCTGCTGGGTTGAAGGAACAGCTAGGTTCCATTACAGGTCAGGGTGGACCTCAAGGCGACCCAAGTGGAGAGGAGAAACAGGCGGAGGGTGGTGCCAAAGAGAATGGCAAGCCGAAAGAAGTCAACGGGGGCCCAAAGCATCCCGGTGGATACACCAAAGGTGGAGCAACGAAGCATATGAACGGTGCGGCGGACAAAGTTGGTAGTGCTGGAAAGGCCAGCGGAGTGGATGTGGGCAACCCGAAAGAGGCCGCTGATGTTGGCAAGCACGCTGGGAAAGTCACGAATGCTGCGCAGGGCGTGAAAGGAGGTGTTTCGGGGGCTACAGGGCTTGGGTGAAATTGGCCCTTGGAGGTTCAAATTGTGCACGACTTCTTGCCCTCGTTTTGTGCTAGCGAGCATATGGGACGCTTGATCCAGAGCGAGGCGTTCAGGACATGTAATGGCTTGCTTCCGTTGGGTCCAAACCCGCCTTCTCTATCACATAGCATCCTATCCTTCGGGGAATCAGCTCTTTCACATGTGTACCCGTTACCTTACTCCAATATACCCTATCTTCGAGCCAGAATGGCGGTTTTGGTTGTACATCAGACCACGAATGAGCGCGCTACACCGTATTACTAGGCAGCTTTTCTATTCTTAGCCCCTGCCAACCTCTCAAGTCGTTGAAGCAAACAATACCTTTTCCTGTTGTTCCAAGGCCGTCTTCCGCCCTACGTTCTCCCTTTGCAAGCCGAAACAAGCATTCAATCCGCCTCATGATACTGCTATCATTGTATCCACGTCCAAAAGCTAGAGCATAGTATACACCAGTAGCATGTCTATAGACGCTTGGGCTGACACCGCCCCGTCGAGGCAAGTATTGCCAAGACCCCGAGCATCAGCGTACAGTCGACACCATCAAGATTCTTCTCCAAGGCAAAATAGACTCGAACAGCGCTGCGGGCACGATTGCATCAATTTACGATACACTGCTCAAGCGTGGTGTGAAACCCTCATTTGTCCCGACACCCTGGGGTATAATCTGTGAGGTCACAAGAGCTCTGGGTGACAACAAGGACATCGCAGAGCGTTAAATCGACCTGCTAAACTCAACCTCGAAGCTGCCAAACGTCACGGACGAGCATACCAGCGCCGTCACTCCCGTACGGGGGTGTATATTGGAGGGATCTGCCGGAGCTCGGGATAATGTTCAGGCAGCACGCCATTGGTAAGTTTCGAACCATTTTCTGCAGCGGTGTACGCAAAGCAGTGCTCGTTGTTGAACCGATCGCTCACAAGCATGCTTGCATGGAATGAATATCGAGCCCATAGACGAGATGGAAGGAGAAGGCGACCGGGATGCTCAGGCGGTGCCATTGCTTAACGCCACCAGATTCGGTGCCATGTACCTCGCCCTTGGTAGGCAGCCAATAGGAATGCCGTTCAATAGGCATGCCATTCTATGCGGAGCTCAGCCTCACGCAAGGCGTCGAGGTGCCCTGCCAGACGCTTAAGCAGCAACGGCGTACGACGATGTACGTGCCACCGGCTTGCTACTTTGGTGTTGCCTGCCGGCGAAGGTATCCACGAGCACTGCGAGAACGATCACGATCGCAAGGACAGCGGCCCGGGCTCGACGCCGGATGGTGCCGAGTGGTTGTGGGGCGAGGGCAGGGGCTACAGCTTGGGGGGGTGGGCGTGTTGGAAGAAAAGGTTTTGGTAGATCGCAGCGACCAAGGACATTGCTGCGAGAACGGCTTCCGAGATGGAAAGGACTGGGGGCTAACTGTGGGAGAAGCAGTGGTAGCGGTGGTGATAGCAGCGGCTCTCACGCCTGTAGGATACGACTCCGTTTGATATCCTTTTGGGTGCTTCCCGTGTATATCTTCGGTTTCCCCGACGTTGCTTTTTCGAGGACAATCGTACCATGAGCATGAATCTGCAAAAGCAAAATATGCTACGGCAATGTTAATGAGTAATGTTCTTGAAATTCGATCTCAGAGATATATTAACATTACGAGAAATGAAACCCTAAAAAGTATACCGTTTCAACTTAGGATCGAGCTGGAAATGTCTGTAATATACGGCTTATTGAGGTTCAATAGTAACATTATTCGGGATCGGATCTCAGAGATATATCAATTCTACTGGGGATGGGGACCTTGAAGGTATGGTAGAAATGATATCTATGACCCAAATTGTGGCAACATTTCCAGGCCTGCTGCCAAACTTTAGCGACAGCTCGAGCGCCGCTAACCCAAACATCGTGTCCGTATCATGCCATCTGTCCTATGTACACAACCACCATGAGCCAATTCCCCCGTGAAAGTGTCCAAACTCCAAACCCAGATGCCCCTCATCGACGTTAGAGTCGCGGGAAGAAACCATCAGGTCTGCCGTACACATGGGGATTCTTCCCCATCTCAAAGTCCTCTTCGTTTAGGAAACCGTCCCCAGGAAACAGTGTGAAGTCGGGTATCGAACCCCCGGCCACCGTATCAGGACCGGGCTCGGCTGGGAAGATCCGGGCAGTTCGGTGGGCAATATCCCGTTCGTCTCGTAGGCGGTGGACTTCAGCCATTGTTCTGGCATGAAGGAAACGCTCTTTGGCCAGGTCGCCTTGGCTCTTGGCCAACCGTCCACGCAGCTCGCGCACCTTCAAATCCATGGCACGACTGAGCTGCTGGATGCCATTCCAGTAGGCTGTCCACTTCTGAAAGACTGTGGAGTTGCACACTGCCCAGACATACTGCTCCTGGTTCTCGGTATGGGCAACGCGAAGCTGCTCTTGTAGAGCCGTGTTCTTGTCCTGGAGGGCTTGGTTGTTGGCCAGCAGTTCCTCGTAAGTGTTCGAGCGGATGGCGTCCTGCTCGAGTGCACAGCCTGTATCCATGATGAGCTGCCAGAAAAGAAGTGAAGGATTGAAGATGTTTGGAGATATCCCGAGGTAGGGGATGAAGATATTTGCAGATTTGGAGAGCTGTGGTATGAGGATTGTCAAAACAGCTGTTGGTAAGGAAGAAAGGGCAACCGAAGATGAGTGCGCTGGCAGTTCTTAAAAGACGATAGTTCCTTGGACGCAAAGGGGAGAATGTCAATCTTGATGCACTGGACGAAAAGTGCATCACGAGACAATACTGTTCGCTGTTAACCGTAATATAGCCATCGGTCTATCACACAGGTCTACCGGAGTCCACATTAGGTTTCAACTCACGGATTGGTTGGCATTGAGACAAGAGATGATCCTGGCAGGCCATGGTTTCCAACGCAGTGAGAACTGCTGGTACGTTCGCCAACCTGGAAACATCCTCGGTGTCGGAAACGAGCTCAAACATGCGGGGCGGACGCACCGCTAGAGCCCCTTCCTGCTCGTCACCAGGTCTTGCCACAATTTCTAGACGTTTGCCTGAAAATGTAGCCGCCCTACAGCATAAAGCTATCCAACGGATAGATTGGGAGAGGGGTGGTATGTGCGGACCTAAAAGTGTACATGAGACAAATTGTCCAACCATTCTTTCTGAAACCACAGGCATGCATATCAATGCACGTCATGTGGAAATATGAGGTAAGACACTTAGTTGTTGACTATAGAGTTACTATGGAGGAAAGAGCGACTAGATACGGACACGCTAAGGCGTGTCACGTAATTATATCACGTGACCGCCAAGACGCCAAGAGTCACGTGATCCGAATTTCAACACTCCCCTTCGCACGTATCCTCTCATAGGCGAAACCGAATAAACACGAAGTTCAATGCTGACGGTGTCAAAACCGGGTAGGTAAGGTGAAATGACTTGGTCGATTTTCGCCGGGTTACCAAAGTAAGTTAGCGCCGGGTAATTGAGGTGAAATTCAAGCTAGGTAGCTAAGGTGAGTTAGTGCCGGGTAGCTAGCGTGAAAGCACACCCCCCACACCCTCTATACCCCTACTCTTCCCTATGCGAACGAAATTGAAAAATACGAGATTTAAAGTTCGCAACGTTTAAAATAGAATAGATAAAGTAAAAAGTCGAAATCTGAAAACGACTATGTCAGACTAGACCCCTACTAAAATTCGATTCAAATTCCACTTTTTATTAAAAAGCGGTTTTTTGGAAATTTTATTTCTAGGCCATCTAGTGTATATCAAAAATCGATCAATTCGAGGCCGGAGAATATATATAAGGGTGGCTGAATGAAATAATTAAAAGAAATCCTAGGTCGTTTCAGGTGACTGGTTCTTAGTAATAATAGCTGGCGACAGTAAATTCGAGATATAATACTTAAGACATTAATGACGAATAGATATAGGTCTCTCGAAAGAGCCCTAGAAGTTTAATAGCGATAGTGGTAATAGCGCTAAAGAAATAGCTATTTCGATATAGAATAGCGAGTTCGCTAAGTACTAAGTCTAATATAGCGGCTCGACGAGCGACTTAAATAGATTACTCGTAATACAAGAACCAATGAAATAACTTTTCTAAAGTAGTTAATAGTAGATAACTTCCCTAGATCTAGATGTAGATATAATAGAATAGCTCCCCTACTAGACATTATTAAACTAAGGCTATACTAAGATAGCAGTAAGATTATTAGCTATCGAGGAGGTAAGTAAGTATAGCTTCCACCTTAAGGGCATTTCGAAAAGCAATAAATTTATTTAAGCAAAGAGCCTTAATAAGCCTATCAGCCATCTATTTATTAATAAGAATATATCGTATATCTATAGTATTATTATTAATCTTTTTCTATACGAAATAATAGATAATATTAATGTACTTAATACGAGTATAAAACTAAGCGTTCTTTACGAGAATAATTACACTCTAATTATCACCGAAAATAATAATAACTTTAAAGTTTATATTGTCGAGGCGAAAAAATTAATTAAGTAGGTTCTTTAGTTAGATCGCTTCTTTAATAGTCTATATCTAACCGATATACTCTATCTTATAAGTAAATAATGTCACAATAGCTTAACGCTTAGATAATTAACTAATTATATCGCTTCTTATATTAAAAAAATAGCTAGATATAAATCTTCGAGTTATATCGCTAGCTTAATTAGAATCAATATAATCGATAAGTTCTTAAAGAAAGTCTTTATATACGAGTTCGTAGTATACTATACCCCTTAGATATTAAAAGATTTAAATAATCGTATTTTAATACGCTAAAGTTAGATTAACTAAGTAATAACTTACTAATAATACCACGTAGGCGATATCGAGATAGATACCGAGTATAGTATATATAAGAGATCCCACCGCGGATTAGTAGTTCTCTTATAATTTTCTTAAAGCGATATAGCTCTCTTCGGCGAAAGTCAGTTTACGACTAATTTCGAGAGGCGTCGATACCGAGATAAGGTTCCAACAGTTAAAATAATTCAAAAACCGAGTAATATAAGCCTCTTATTCCAGACGAAGAACACCGCTATAACGATCTCTCTTAACGATTATACCCAAGTAGTAGATATATAATCTTAAGTCCGATATGTGAAACTTCGCGTTAAGTCTCTTCTTAATCCGCTAAATCCCGACTTTACTTAAGTTAATAATTAAGATATCGTCGATATAGAGCGCTATAATAGTACTCTCCTTAGAGTTTATAAATATACTATTATTTAATTCGATAGAGAGAAGATCTAATTCCTTCATATACTTCGAGAAATACTAATATTAGACTCGAGAAAACTACTTTAGATCATAAAGTATCTTATTTAGCTTATAGACCTTAATATTGTTTTTACTAAAGCCATCGAGTTAGCGTATATAAATCTCTTCCTTCACATTACCGTATAGAAAGATAGTTTTAACGTTTATTTACTTTAGATCTTAATTTAGAATAGTCGTAAGTATGAAGATCGCCTTATAGCTTATAGGCTTTACCACCGACGCGAAAGTGTTATAGTAGTCACAGCCCTCCTACTATTCGAATTCTTAAATAACTTAGCGTATCTTATAGCGGGTAATTTTCTTATCAAGACCCTATTTTAAGATATAAACTTATCTATCTCTTAGAATATAAGTCTTAGAAGACACCTAAATAAGATATTAAGTATTATTATTTATAAGAGATTTATACTTATTCTTTATAAAAAGTTTTTAATTTATTTAAAATAGCTAGTTAGATATAACCTACTTATAAGTAATAAACTTAAAGACATTTAACTTATTAGTATAGTTCGCAAATAAGGCGAATATCGTAAAGATCTTCGAAAGAGAATTAGAGGATAGATCCCGTAGATCCGAAACTATAAGATTTAGATAATTATATAGTATTCTTTAAATAGCGCTTAACTTACGATCTTCGCGGATAGCTTATATAACTTCGATAATAGTAAATAATAAATCTAAGTCTAAGGAAATTTCCCATATAGATAGCGTAGATCGAACTACTAATAATAATATAGATGTAGTATTTAATCGAGTAATTTATATTAAAGGCGCTTAAGCTAAGGGCTCTCGCGTAGTTAATTAGATATATCGTATTAAAGACTCTTATATAAATCTTCGCGAAGGCGCTAGCTTATTAACTAGCTAGAGAAAATTTAGCCTTAATCTTATAGATACTAAAGGTCTTAAAGCCGCCGAAGATTTAATAGCTATTTTAGTTATAGATATAACGTCTTCTAATACTTCTTTAGATTTAACATCTTTCGAAATATCTATAATACGCTATCTATTTAGTACCTCTTCTATAGCGAATACTAGTACTATTAAACGTTACCGCTTATTCGAGAGCTTATAAACCTTAGTTTCTTCTTCCGGATTTATGACTAAGAATTATTTTTTCATAAAGTGCGCGCTATTAGCGCGAATAACTATCTTCTTAATAAGATTATATAGTTAAAAGATATACTCCCTCTTATATCTTAGTAGTATACACTTTTCGCTCTAATTTATAAGCTTCTTCTAGATTTATTTCATCGCGTAAATAATGAAATCGATTATACGTAAGTAAAAAAGAATAGACTTTCATTAATAGAAGACCTTAAAAGGAATTATAATAATTCTAATATTAGGCGATTATATTATTAAGTAGTTAACGATAATAACGATTTTAGATTAAAAAGATTTATTAAGATTAAAGCTTAAAAGAATGAAATATATCTTATATAGTAAGATCTATCTAAAATACTCAACTATATCATTTATCTAGGGGTTATTAGAGATAATAGATTTCTACTTAATATTTAATAGAGCGAGATAGTTAAGAAAGACTTTAAATATATACTCGCCTTTATTATTAAGGCGAATATAAGAGATCTTATAATTATATAACTTAAGATGGGTCTTGAATTATAAGAATATAGCGAAGGTCTTACTCTTATAGCGAATATAGTAGACTTTAGAGTAGAAGGTGAAATTATCTTTAAATATTATAAAGTATCTATAGCCATTAAAATCTATAGAAGATAGAGACTCTATAAGATCGCTATAAATGAATTCGCTTAGTTATATATCGGGCGTAGTAGAACTAGTATAAGAGATAGCCTTTTAATATCTTATAATATAGCACTCGCAAGTATACTCATCCGCGATATTCTTAGTGAAATCCATATCTATCGCTATAGTAAGGAGTCTATTTAGATTCTATTAACTTAAATAGCTTATATAAGCATATTAGAGTTAATAAATTAGATTTAAAGAAATACTATATATTATTAAAGCACTATTTAGACTATTTTAAAGATTAAGAAAGAATAGATCTCGATTACGAGTATCTATAAGCTTTAGATTATCTTTAATTAAAGCGTAGCTAGTCTTATAGAAATCAACTACGATATCGATATCTAAGAGTTTACTAATAAAAAGAAGGTTAATATCTATATCGAGTATATATAAGATATTAAGTAGAGTAATACTTATATACTTATCTTAAATAGAGTAGTTTAAGCTAATAATATTA